TACTCCCCTTTGGAGGAGGGTTCAAAAATAGTACTTAATCCCTATAAATTTATTGATATCTTCCTTATTCGTTTAATATCCCCTTATTCCCTTGATATCACTCCAAATCCAATAATATCCTTCATGTTATCCCCCAATAACACTTATTTTAACCCTCCAATTACGCTTATTTTAAGTCACTTATGTTTAAATGTTCCGCCATTTGCTCAATTCTATACTAATTTCGATATTTTTTCGAATTTTTTATAAAAAAATTTTTACATCCAGGTCAGGATCCGACATTTTTCAAATTCGAACTCAAATTGATTTAAACGTAAAGAATTTTGAAATAAATTTTCCTATGATAAATCATAAAGGAAGGTTGAAAAATAGTACTCCCCCTTGAATTAGTACTTCTGCCTTAAATAATACTCCCTTTTGGAGGAGGGTTGAAAAATAGTACTCCCGGGATTACTATTAGCTGAAATACGGTATATTATATAAATTAGGAACCTCTACATTATCTATATTTTTATTAGGATTTTTCTTATAATTAATTAAAGCATCCTTCATTTTCGGATTATTATTTACAAAATATTTAATTAATTCTTTTTGTATTATTGGATCACTTCTAAACTTTAATTTTAAATTTTCATTTGGAAAAAAATATTCTTGTATTTCATAAATTTCATCCAATTTCTTTTTGTCATACCTAAATTTGTTTGTAATTTAGAAAAATATTTTTTTTAATTTACTTTTGATATTTATTTTCTTTTTTTGAATTATTTTGAATAAAATCATCCAATTTCCTTTTACCTCCTCCTCTAACCTTTTTATTTTTTATTTCATTTAAAGAAGAATTTGAAGAACTACAATCTTCACTTAATGCTTAATTTATTTAAATTTAAAAAAAAATATTTTTTAATTTTTAAAAATTACAATAATCACTATTCCAAGAATTATCAGAATTATTTGGCGTCGAAAATATTAAATTATTTATTATAAATATTAAATAAATAATTAAAGATAAATTTTTTAGAGACATTTAATTAATTGTTTTTGGGAAATTTTTAAAAATAAATTTAGAGAAAACTTAAATGGAATTGATAAAAAATAAAAATTAATTTAAATAAACAAAAATAAATAGAGAATATAGTACATGTTTTGAAATAAACATAAAAATGCACTTTAAGTAAATGGATTCACATGCATAAAAAACTATTTTTATTAATTTTTTTAAAGTAAAGTCTAGATTTAAATTACGAAATATTTAATAAAAATAAAAAAAATTTTATATTTTTCTCCAAGAAACTGCTAGGAAGAGACGTATACTTTCAAAGGGATGCAGGTCTTAGGCTAATAAGCCTAAGCTAGTTTTTTATAAGAAAAATTTTTATCTTCCGGAAAAGTTATATCCTTAATTGTCGTACCACCTGTAAATAATATTCACTTATACCATCTAAAACTAATCGAGCCTTCTAAAAATTAGCGGATAACCGATATATTTATAAGTAGGGTTTGATTTTTCAAACCGGGCCGATGTTCGAATCATTTTTCAGGTCGCGGTGGGGTACCTTTCCGTGCCGCGAGTTCCGTGCCGCGGATTCCGTGACTTCCCAGTTCCGTGACCTCCCAGTTCCGTGACCTCCCAGTTCCGTGACCGTTGTAAAAGGGACGTTTCCTTACTAATTATTTAAATAAGAAACAAGGGTTTCTCGTAATTTTTTTAGTTTTTCCTACTTTCTACGATCTAAAGAACATGAAAAAAGGTAGCCGAGTTTTTCTCTAGGCTTTTCTTGGACTTTCTCGGGCTTAGGGGGTCTTGGTCTTGACTTTTTTTCTTCAGGGAACAAAATTTTAATAAAAAAACGAGTCAGATACACAAAAATTTATCAAAAAAATCATAAATAAAAGAGTTCTGCACACATTAAACAAGATTTGACTAAACATAAAAAAGGAAATTTAAAAAAATTAGAAATATCAACTAAAGATTAAAAAAATTAAAACCTGAAAAATAAAACAAAAATTCCTGATCTTGCTAAGTTTGGAACCTTGTAAAGCATCGGAACAGCCGTGGGATGGATATCCAGCACGCCACAACCAAGTTTTGGTTAAATATTTTATTAAAAACATAATTATATTATTGGGGAGAAGTCACGGAACTGGGAGGTCACGGAACTGGGAAGTCACGGAATCCGCGGCACGGAAACCGCGGCACGGAACTCGCGGCACGGAACCCTCCCAGTCCGTTCTGGTCGGACCGGTCGAGTATTTTTCGGGCCTCATTTTTATCAAACCAAGCCGTTCGAGTATTTTCGGGCCAAAATTCGATGCCCGTTTCGATCTATCGGACCGAACCTGGTCCCCACCCCTATTTACGAGTGAATAAATTTACTTATTACGATGTTAAATAATTTTTAATGAAAAAACAGCTAAATAAATTTAAATAAATATTAAAAATTAATTTTCTTTATAATTTCAAATCATCTTTGTAAACTTGTAATGCAAGTTGATAAATTCCCGGAAGTACCTAAAAATTTAGAAAAAAATAAATTTTAATTAATTCTTTTCCAATATTTTACTTTAGCTGCTTCCTTCTTAATTCCCCTTTCCGGAAAAATAAAACCTCCAAATAAATTCTCATAACGTCCAGAAGTTAATTCCATAGTATAGGAATATTTAACACCCAAACTTGTTGCGTAATCGTCACTTCCCCCAGCAGCTTCGTCTTTTTTAAATAATAAAAATTATTTTAAAATTAGCATTTTATATTTTTAAAAATAATTTCTAAGTTTATCTTAAAAGCTCCAAATATATTCGGATCTTAATTTTGATTACATTCAATAATGGTTAAACTAAATCTAAGATACAAAAATATTTTTTTAGTTTTAATTGGGTAGGATAATTCCAATAATTGATGCTAATGAAAGCACACTAGAATTCAAACCAAAACGAGATTTCAAACAAAAATCTTGTTTACTGAGAATATCAATCTCGATTCCTTTTCGACTAATACACACTTGTTAAGATACATTTTTTCATCCCCAAGAGTTTACGTATAAACTTGATTTAGATAAACTTTAATTATTTAATTTATTGAAGACAATAAATTTATGATTCCAAAAGATATACAAAGCTTTGTTCACATCCCTTATAAAGTAACTACTGTGTAGATAACTCAAAATTTTGGATATCTGTACAAATAAACCGACAGAATATTTTCTAATAAAAACAAACATAAAATGTCAGGTGCACTTCCAATTTTAAAAGGAGCCCCTCCTTCCTGGACAATTGCTTTTGCCATTTTTTCGGCTACAACTCTCAATTCCTCAACATTATCTGGATATGTTCTTGCAGCATAATTCCAACCATGGATTATTAAATTCCCATAAGCGTGTAATGTTAAATATGCTTTTAAATTATTTTTGTTTTTATTCATATAAGCTGCTAAATGTGCACATTCCGGTTCGGAAAGAGGTGTTGGGCCTGGGTAAACTTCACTGAAATTGGAATATTTTAATATTAAATTGTTGGTTGTACAATATTTATATTTATCAATTTAACTAGACAGATCCTTCTACAGCTAATTCTAAACAGTGAATTCCTCTCTGAATTCCTTTCTCAACAAAATAACTCTCTCTATAAGGAACTCTTCCTCCAGTCTTTCTTATTTAATATTTATATGTTGATTAACTCTATAAACATCACTTGATTTCCTATCTTTATAGATATGATCTTATCTTTAAAGAAAAAATAATATTCTAAACTATGATTGAACTCTGAACGGACGCTCTAAACTTATTCAAGGGCCTTGCTCTTGCTTCGACATTCGTATCTACTATATATGCTATTTTGAACCTGATAAAATCTAGACTTTGGGGTTTTGTTATTTTTCTATATTATCCAAATTAAAATAAAAATAGTATCTTTTAAATTTTCATTTTTTAACCTGCAAGGGCAAGGATCTGTTCCCGTTTCTGCCCAATGATAAGGAAAGTTTCTGTTAGGATCTACTCCATAACAGAGTGGAGCATCTCCAATACCACAAACTTTTGTTGTTTTGTATGGACCAGAACGTGTATGTCTCCATAGTCCTTTAAATAATTTATAACTTTAATTTTCGAATTTTGTTTAACTATCTCTTGTCCAAGTATATTCATATCCATCAGGATTTAGTACAGGAATAATATGTACATCGATGTGGTCAAGTAGGGACCTCCATTTTGGATTATTAATGAACTTTAAAGAAATTTTTTTTAATAATTTTTGTGCTACTTTAGATCTCTAGGACTGGATTACTTTAATTAATTTATCTAGGAACCGAATTTCTTCTACGTATGAACGTAATTGGGTATGATTGGGGAGACATTTGTATCTAATTAACTTGCCTAAGAATAAATTAACTAAAATAATTTTATTAATCTATACCTCATTATAAGATAAAAATCTTTTTCAGCCCCATAGTGTAACTTATAGTGCAAATTTAACTAAATTGATTTGATCCGACGTAATTTTATTTTCTGATTTATTTCCTCAATTAAAGCCTAATATTTTTGATATTCTCTCTCTTATTAAGGTCCAATCTACTATATATTTTATAAATTTTAATTAATTTACAGCATTAATAGCATTCAAAGCAACTGCAGGCGCAATCCATTCTCTTGCTTAATTTAAAAATTGAAAATTTTTAAATTTTAATTCAAAACCGTGTATTCCACCATCTAAAAGAAATATAGGCTTAATTGTTCTATTGTTGAATGGAGCATATCCGAGCTTAAAAATTTTTTTTGAATTTTCAAAATTAAAATTTTGATCATATTTATTCTGGAAATTATTTGAATGTTCAAACATCACTTCATTTTTAGATACCCTTCAAATACACTTTTTCAATTTTGGTCACAAAACCAAAAATTTTTTAAAGTGCTTTTTGAATTTTAAAATAAAACTGATACTTAATTAAAAACGGTTTTTTTAATTTTATTAACAGAAAACCGTTGATAACGTGTCAATAAAATACACTTTTAAAGGTACTTGTGGGTTATCCCTACGGACTTTTCCGGACACAATTGTACAGAATGGTCAGCTTCTCCCTCCCTTTCGTCCCTTTTAAAATATATGTACATGGTTGAGATAGATCTAATTTTGATATTTACCTTCAATACACCCAACTCTCTCAATTCCGTTGTTTTCCCAATACTCTCAAATTTTGCAATTTTTGGATTTTCTTTTGCAATTAGTTGCATGTATTGAATTATCTATTTAAATATTTTTTTAATTTTATTTTTTAAATTTTTTACGGAATTATATCGATGATACCGCCCCAAATCAAATTCTTCGATACTTGTAATTAATTCTTCATCCCATTCATCTAGTAATTCATAACGGAGAGTTTCGCCGGAAACGCGCATTTGGCTATATTTAAATATTTTTTAAAATTTATTCTCATAATTTACAAAAGACTCAAATTGTGATTATAAATCACACAAACACTTTCCTCGTATCTTCTTTGACTCCCGAGGTCATTTCCCGACCCGACTCCTGTTTCACGATTTCCCGGGGTTTTTATTCTCCCGAGCATCACTATAATACAAGAAACCACAGATTGGTAATGGTTTGTTGTAGAGCTTCGCCTGAAGTTCCGGACCCGGTCAAAATTTCGGTTCCGTTGAAACACTAGTTTGTTGGCTGTTATTAACAGCCGAATTATTTCTAAAAACTCAGAATGAATCCGACTCTTTCGCTATTCCTGGTGTGGGTTGATTCATTTTAATAAATACTTTTGTGCCTAGCACTTCCTAAGTTTGCCTAATTTTTAACAAAATTTTAACAACTTACAGCCCAAAATCCTCAATTAAAGTAGAATACACAATTTTTTTGTCATCAAAAAAATCTAAAAGTTTTCTTTCACTTTCTGGCCCAGAAAATATTTCTGCAGGCATTCCAGGCTGTGAATGGACTTTCCATATTTGTATATTATTTTCTTCCGATTTCAACATATTTATTGAACGTGTAATATTTTTAAGTTCCATTAATTGGGATTTGTTTGAAAGAAAGGCACGGAAAAGTTTAAAACTTTAAAAATAAATTTTAAAAATATTGTCTCGGGCCTCAATTTTATTTAAAACTTTGACCCTATATGAAATGAAGTCCCAAATCAAATTTTTTCCATCTTCCTTAAAATGAGTAATTTCCTTTACATTCTCTCTATTTTTGATTTGTGCCGTAAGGCCATGTATGTAAAAGGACTAACTGAACGTGTGTGTTTTTGTGTTTATGACCGTGTGTGTCCGCTTCCCTGTCTGTGTCCGTCCGGGTCCGTCCGTGTTTTGACTGTCCGAGTTCGTCCGTATTTTGTTTGTCTGAGTTCGTCCGTGTCCGTGGAACCGGCAAAGGTCCGGAACCGGTTAACCGTTTCGGACAACTCGGACAGTCAAAACACGGACGGACTCGGACGGACATAGACAGAGAAAACACGGACACACACGTTCAGTTAATCCTTTTGCATTTATAGACTTACGGCATAAATCAAAAATAGAGAGAAATGTAAAGGAAATTACTCAGTTTAAGGAAGATGGAAAAAATTTGATTTGGGACTTCATTTCATATAGAGCCAAAACTTTTGAGGTAGAAAATAAGGTAGTTGGAAATCTTCGGATATCCGACCCCGATATCCAATCTTTTTCAGACTTTGTTTTCTTAAATCACTAGAAAAATAGCATGCTCTACCAATTACCCCTCTCTAATAATTAATTACCTTCTCCAACAGAGATTTTAACGATAATTACCCAAGGTTATTATTACAGGATATTTTGTATCGCTTGGAAGTTTTCCTCTTCCCAGTGACCAAACAAAAAGAAAAATATTTATTTAATTAATTTGGGTGGACATAAAATCAAGGTGGTAAGTGTTCCACTTACTAAGTTATAAAAAAAAATAGAGACTAATTTAAATTTATTATAAAATTTCTTGGTACTTTTCCGTTATACGACCGCAAACTGAGTGTCAACCGATTTTGATCGGTTTTAATTTTTCTATGCTTGATCCTATACAAATGAATTTTATATCATTCGAAAGCCCTCGATAAGAGGTTTAATAAAAAATAAAAATGTTTTTTAAAAATCAAATACCCGTCATACTGTCGATGACCGTGTTTTTCCTCTTCAGATTTTGCAAATGTTAATAATGTAAAAATTACTGATAATAACAAGAACATTATTTTTTATTTTATTTTAGACAATCAAAAAAAAATAAAATTTTTTCTGTAGTAATTTTTAATTTAAATACTTTTTTGTATATTTATTTAATTTTTATTTATTTATTTAAACAATAAAAATACATATAAAATTATTATGTACAAACAAATTTTTTTTGTCTTTTTTGTTAAATACAAACCATTTTTATGTCTATCTATTATTTTTCAAGAACAATTACTAAATCAATTTATTATTTTTTTATTTAATTTTCTTGAGTGAATAATAAAAATTTATATAATTTTTATTTGATTAACAAATAGTTTTGGTGATTAAGTTTTTTTGTATATTTTACTATTTTTATGAAGAAAAAACAAATAAAGTAGAGTAGCCTTTTGTTGAAAAAAATTTTTTTACCAAACAGAAATGTGTATAGTTTTTATGTATCTTTTTGTTATTTTAAAGTATAATAGAAGCTCGATATATTGACACCCCTAAGGAACGATATTCGTCGGATTTGTTAATTTTTAAGAAAACAAGGTGATCTAAGAAGGAGTCAAATTGGACCTGTTACAAACCTCAGTAAGCGACGTGAGAAAGGAGAAGTAAAAGGAGGCAATATTGTTGGCGGATTTTTAAGTTAAGATAATTAAAGATTCTCCAAAGGGAAAATTTATTGCTTCGAAATTCAAATTCTCTTAAAATCGTTTTAAATACAAATATCGGATATTGGCACAAAAATTGTTCAAAAATTGAGGATTTTTAATTGGTTTAGCGAGGCACTAAAATTAGAAGACGAGCCTAAGAGGTACCAGTTGAAGTAAGGATAAGTTTAAAGCGAGGTAAGTACTAACTGCGATGTTATTTAAAAAAAAATTAAGTTTTTAAAGTTTTTTAATCTTAAGATAACCCTTTTTCCTTATATTCTAATTACTCAATGTACACCGAATGCTGCAACATTTTACTCGTAAAAGCATAAACGAGAATGAATTTTTTAGAGCTCTTATTAAATCTTTAATCATTTTTAGTTTTCAATTATCTTTGATTGTTTTTTGGAATAAGAGCTCTAAAATAGCTACATAGTATATATACATATATGTACAAGAATGAAAAATATGATAAAGAGTTCGAATTTTTCACATTGACGGCACTGTAACCGGGTTCTTTTCTTCTAAAACAACCCTAAAACGACTCAGAAAAACCGGATTTTATCAAAATACCCTGTGTTTCTGGTCTACCAGGCCTGAAAACCCGGAACCGACCTGAACCGACCCGAATTCAAACTCTAAAAATAAATCCCAAATAGAACACGTACATAGTTTAGGAGGAAATAATTTTTAAAAAATAAAGGATAAATAAGTGTTGAGAAAGGGTTGTTACTCGTCCCTGGTTATCAGCGTGTAGGCAAGAACGGGGAGGCATTCTTTCCCCGTCTCCCTTTTTATCTCGAAAAAATCAATTGTAATTATTTTCCAATTTTCTTCAAACGAAACATCAATTAAGTTGTTATTAGTTCGAATTCTTAGGAACGAACGTTTAAAACTTTTCAAATTTTTAAAATACGCCTAACGCAGAACGCCAAAAATCAACGCCATAACGCACAACCCAATTCCCCCGGTTTCATTAAGTCCCCCGAGTTGAGTACTGGAACCATATTTTGAGCTATAACTTTTTTGGTTTTTCAACCAATTCGAATGAATTTTTTATCATTCGAAAGCCCTGGATGTGAGGATTATTTTCGTCAACTAGATTTGATCAGATCAATCCTGCTAGATAAAATAATCCTTACATCAACATCTTTCGATGAATATATTATCTAAATTGATTATGAATTGAAAACAGTTATGGCCCCAAATATGGCAGTTTTTTCAAACCCCGTTTTCCTTAAAATTATCCCCTCACACTGATTCTTGTTAGCCTTTTTTGCCTCCCCATCCTTACAAATAATAATCTAAGTTTGGATCTCTGAAAAAAGGTGTTAGAACTAAATTGGCTTTCGCTTTAGCGTCAGTTTTTTCTCCCGAATGTGTTATAAAAGTGAGATCTGACCTTTCCCCTCCCAACTAAGTTGCCTTGAGTCAACAAATTTTTAAGCTGTTCTCATTTCTAATCCTTGAGATTATCTGCGGGAAAAACCTCGAATTTCAGGTAACAACCCAAATCCCTGTTTGGAATGTACAAAAAGTATGTTTATACATGTTTGTGTGCTTTTCTACGTCTCGATCTTTTTACAGGCGTTTTCTTTACTTGTTGCCTTCGAATTTCTCACCTCGTCATTTGGGTGGCTGTGAAAAGAACAATAATTAATATTTATCTGATTATAATTTAGATATTTATTTACGTTAGTTTTGGTAGCATCAGTTGGAGGTTTAATTCCACATTTTTCACCGCATTTAATGCATTCTTGTGGAAGTGGTGGAGGAGGTGGATGTTGACCATTTGGAGGTGGTGGAGGTTGCCCATCTTTTGGAGGAAGAGGAGGTTTACCATCTGAGGTTGGTGGAGGAGGTGGTGGTTTATGAAGAATTGTTATAAGAGCTTTGACACAGCCGACCACCTAGTTAATAAATTCCTTGTTAAAATTTTAAGATTTCTATCTAAGATTTTAAGCTAATTTTAAGGAAAAATAGTAGATTTACTAAAAATTTTAAATAGAAAGTTCTTACGTCGTTATCCGGTTGTGTATCACCTTAATTATTTTTATATTAAATTTTAGCAGAATTTTTATTGGAAACAAAACCTTTAACTAACGAGAAAAGAACCGCAAGAGCGCCAACGAAAACACCAATCTTGATCGCCATAATCAAAGCAGTAGCTAATGAACGCTTTGAAAATTTGAGTTTTTTGTTTAAATTTGGTAGGATGAGGAAGGGTTGTCCGTCCTCCTTTCGATTCTGTAGTCGACTACGATGACCCACCTTTCTTTTATATGCCCCAATTGTGTTGCCAGAAAGTTGCATTTTTGGGGTAATGGGAGGGAATGAAGGCGGAGATTGATAGAAAAGGGCAAAAACGTCAGGTGAAAGTGTTGAATGCGTGACTTGTCTAATGACTTTCTTCTTTGTCTATGTCCTTTTCTCCTTGCCAATTAAACAAAGAAAATATTTAAAATTAAATTGCCATAAAGGAAGACTTGGTATTGATCATTAAAAGGGCATTTATGACAGCAGACAGGGATTCTAAATTTTAAAAAGAGAATTTTAAAAAATGCCAGACTCCTTCCCGTAAGCAGGCCTCATGTGAATGTCTGTCTGCGATTGGGAATCAGAAGACAGACCTCACTCATGATTAAGGGCATTTCTAGTGAAGGCATTATTGAAATGGAGAATTTTAAATAATTTCAGACAACCGGCAAAATTCTATTAATTGAGAAAATAAAACTTTTTGGGTCCAATGTCAATTTAACATTAAAAATTTTAGAAGTTTCAGGTTAGGAATTGGAGAATCTTAAGAATTGGAGAAGATATTTCATAATGCGCATGATGAGAAGTTTAAATTTAAATGCTTGCCTAATAAAAAAGCATGTAAAAATAAATAAAAATAAATTTTTAAAATAGACAGGAAAATATTTTTTGTCAATGTTTGTAAATTAAATTGACAGTGGCATTGATTTAAAAATTGATTTATCCAAAAAAATAAAATTTTTAAAAATATTTGGCAATAATTTTTGACAAAACAAATTCTCAATTAAACATGACTTTCTATCCAATGTACTTGCTGAACTTATGTAACAAAAGATTAATTCAGGCACTAAAAACAATGTCAGAATTTCATCAACAGCCAAAATCAAATTTCAAAAATATACACTCGACGTTAATACAACCCAACATTTTCCTTGAACATTTATCCGAACATTGTCATTAATCGAGGAGCACAAACGACGATAGCCTACATATTGTCAGTTAACAAGTCAGATAATACTTTCAAAATTCCACCCAATTTTGGTCTAAACAATATAGTATTTAAAGAAAAAGCTATCCTCGGAGTAGTTATTCTTCATTCAAATCAAAATTTTCTAAAATGACTGAAACAATGCCAAATTGCAACGACGAAGATAATACAGAAGTTACGCAGTTACTGCTTTAACGAGTAGGGAAGCAATGGGGAGGAGGGCAATTGTTTCTAGTTTTGCTTGTAGATTCCGAGACAGCAAAAGTATATAAACCTTAACCCTCCTCCACAACATGTAAGCCCATAAATAGTCTCTGGGGTTGACTTAAATTAAAATTCAGTCTAACATTTAAAATTCCGTACTTTTTTTAATAAATTTTATTTAAAAAAATTTTTTTAAAGAATTTACAAAAAGAAATTTTACAAGAAAAAAATGTTAAAATAGCCCGTTTGTTAAAAAAAATTGATAGGATATATAATACATAACGGCAGTTATATAACTTTCAAAATTTCAATTTAATCCTTTTCCGATAAAAAACAAACATCCAAAACACAAAAAGGTAAACGACACGTTGGACACGGCGCTCGTCCAGCCATCCATATTTCCGGCAAATTTTGATTTTGTTTGGAAGCAAAAATTCTTCCCATACATCGAGCACACCTAAAAAAAAAATTTTTTTAACAAAATATTTTTATTTAAATTTAAACTAACCACATTGGTCGGCATTGACAATTACGACATTTTTCGTAGCTTGCACCATCTTGAATGTCTAGAGAATCGATACATTTCTTTACTAGTTTGACTTGTGCCGGTAGTTGAGAACAGCCTAAACAAGGCTCCAGATCCTTTAAAAATTAATTTTTAAAAAGTTTTTTTAGAATATTAAGTGGAAAATAATTAAAAGGCGAAAGATAAAAATTTGGGCTCTTGTCCAGTTTAAGCGTCCAATCGCACGTTTATACATCCAACGAAAATGTTAATGGACGCATAAACTGGACAAAACCCAAAATCTTCTTACCTCTTTCTGTTTATAATCGTAACGAGGATTTCTTTCCAATTCTTTTATAAAAGCATCAACAAAACTAAAAAAGAATTCTATTTATTTTAAATTTCAATTTTTAAATTCAAAACCGTTCATGTAAAGGCTGTGGAAGTGCTAAAGAATCCAAAACTTCAATTGGACGCCCAATCTGATCTTTCAAATTATTTAGTTCTTGCTGATTTCGAATTCTTAAAATTTAAATAATTTTTAAATAAAAAGATTTTCGGAAAAAAGATTTTTCAAAAAATTAAAAAACGAAAACTTTTGCCTTCTCGTTTAGAAACTAAAGAAAAGCTAAAAATATGAAGGAAAAAGTCTGAAAAAAAATTACGCATGGATTACCACGTTACATATCCTTATAAATGCCAAATAGTTTATTAGGTATTTTCATGATTTTTTAGTAGGTACTTTCCAAAAATTAAAAACCGGAAACTTCAAATCAATTAACGTGCTTAACACATATTTAAGATATACATTAGTTTTGCTCAAAAAATTTTTTTTAAATCCACCCAAAACCCAACCCCAAAACAAATTTTAAATTAATTAAATTTACCTTATATGAAAAGTTTCAAAACACCCACTTCGACTACAAACACGTAAATCAATTAAATGTTCAGCAGAAGTTGAAACCAAACCATCATGACTTGGAACACTCTGAAAATTAAGAAAAATATTTTTTTCAAAAAAATTTTTTTACTTGATGTAAAGGACTAGAACGGACAATAACTAATTGGGAATCAGAAATTCGAGCAAAATTGACATTGTAATTGGTAATTTTTAAAATCCATTCATCAGTTATTATTGTACGAGAACAATCTAAAAATTTAAAAAAATCAAAACGAAAACAATTAAAAGTATGTCAAATTTATTTTTTAATTTCTTTTGTTAGAAGGATCTCGACTATCCCACAAAGAAGATTATATCCTAGGAGAGTAAAAAACTTATTGTTAGCCCGCCTCTTGATTTGGCTGAAGACCTTGACCAGATTTTTGACCTTGAATCAAGGAAACTCTGGATCCAGGAAAAATCAAGGCCTGAATCCAGATCCATGCTGATCTCTATAGAAGAGAACAGAAACAGTAAACCATTTAAATCATCAAGAAACTATCTAATCGTAAATAATTTTTAAAAATAATTTTCCAGTCAAACTTAACCATTTTTTCCTCCCTACGATTATTAAACTTAAAACAAATACTGTTAACAAATCCTAATTTTTTAGACAAAATATAATGTCATTAAACAAAAGGAAACCTTTATTTATCATTGAAAAAAGCATAGGCCTTCTAACTTCAATATTAATTTGTATTGCCAACTCACGCCACGGCCCGTCTTGCGGATTATTCAAGAGACGTAAACGGCGTATCATATAATGACGTTCCCAATCATTTAAATAAAGAATCGAGCAGAAACAAGCAGTTGCTTTAAATGTATTTTAAATAATTAAATAAATTTAAAAAAAACCAGTAGAAAGAGCGATAGACAAATAAGCCATTATTTGAATGAGGTTATGTGGAAGAGGTGTAAATACAGGTTGAGGAACACATAATTCAAGTCCTACGAAACAAACTAAAAATATATTAAATATATTTAAATTTTAAATAAAGAATTGATGGAAAATTTTGGCTCTTGTTAGGCTAGCAATGACCCATCTATAGTGCCAGGGAGATTTTTAACTGGGAAGGGGAGGGGGGCAAGGAAGGAAAATTTTTCTACACCGAATTTTTGGCGTCGAAGGCGAAAATTTTGAAAATTTTGGGGAGTACGAATCTTTTGAACTCACTTTTTCGTCCAATCCCTTCCAAAAAATTTTTCCTTTTCCGCATTTCGGAGGGAGGGGGAGGGGGAAGAAGTACCCCTGACTACTGGCCTGTATAGTGCAATCGACTTTTATACGCCCATTCTAAATCTTATCCGTACAAAAGATCTCTGAACATATAAATGTTTTTATTGGACATATAGTCCGATCAGAAATCCTTAGTAATGTTTCTTCTTACACAAAAGCCGAAATTTTTCTAGCTTTTCCAAAAATAAATTTTAAAAAATTCTCACATGAATTTATTTTAATAAAAATATTTTACTCACGGAAAGGTAGAGAGGCATGGACCATAATTGTTAGTAATGTTCTTCTCAAATGATATTCAACAAAATTAAATCTGAAATTGTTTAAATTTTCTCTAATAATAAAGCTTTTTAATATCTCTAAAAAAGTCTATCAAACCCCAAAATTTCATTCTTAACAATTTTTAAATAAAAAACCGGTACTTGTGAGTTATCCCAAACCAGTTTTTGCGGACATTTTATGCGGACAGTTTTTGTACAGAAAGGTCATCTTTTTCTTCCTCGATTCACAAAATTTTCCCTGTTGCAATATTCAATGAGTTCATCAACAAAGAAAAGATTAATTTTTCTTTCCAATGTAACCAAAATAGAAATTAACATTTGAATCAATTCATTCTTATTTTATCTATTTCAGTTATTTAAGTAGCATAAGTACCCGAGTCTGTGTTTTAGAAATAATGGTCGGTATTTTCACATATTTTTCGTTAATTGGTCCGGTACGTGGCGTGTGTACCAAAACTCGGGTTGTAGGGCTGTCTATTCACATAAAAGATTTTACTGGACAGCAGTTGACTTATTACAAATAGAAGTGGTGGTACAGTACAAATAGAAGCAGTGGACCATTGATTCTAACCATATATAAGGCTCACCGTGCTGTTTGAGTCGAATCACACCAGAATCGGTTCATGGAGACATCTCTGAACTGAGTTACAGAGACTGAAAATGTATACAAAATGGGTAATAATGGTCATAATTCTGAGAAAAAATTGATTTGAAAAACGTGAAAATACCGAGACATTTTCTAAAACCCAGACCCATGTACTCATTTCCATTAATTCAAATGTTAATTTTTTTGGTTACATTGAAAAGAAAATTAATCTTTTCTTTGTTGATGAACTCATTGAATATTGCTGCAATAGGGAAAATTTGGTGAATCGAGGAAAAAAAGATGACCTTTCTGTAAAAAAAAGTCCGCAAAAACTGGTTTGGGATAACTCACAAGTACCAAAAAACCTTTCATCTCCCAGCCAAAATGCAAAAACTTTTGAAATTGTAAATCCTGCCGACTGCATTGCATCTGATGGAAGTATGACAACTAGACAAAGAAATGCTGACAGAATAAGGAAGAAAAGAAATTCGGAAAATGATATGCCAAGTTCCATAATTTTTAAATTTAAATTTGGCTGGAAATTTTTAAAATTTTTATATAAAATTTTTATGTTTAAAAATGCTAAAAAACATGCAAAAGTAAATATTTACACATCATTTTAACGAGTCATCATTGAATTTTCGGTAGCTTGCTAAAATGCGCATTCCACGCGAAACGGGCCTTTGAGTACCGCCTCTTAAATATTAGGGAGACTCAGGCGACCAAATTTAAAACACTTTGCCAAAATAAATTTTTAAATAAAAATCGATTTTATTTAAAATTGGGTACAGCCCAAAACGGCGCACGGCCATAATGGCGCAAAGCCATAACTTGCTTCAAAATTTCCAAATCTTTCCAAATTTAGTATTAAACGATTCCTCTCATCGAGCTAAGTAGATTGATATCAAAATTGATAAGGGGCAGACATTTTCAACCAAGTTATGGCTTTGCGCCGTTATGGCCGTGCGCCTACTTGGGCTGTACTCTATCGAAAAGTTGAAACTAAAGAACCTCAACCAAAGTTTAGGATGATTTGTAATTTTTGAATTACTTTTTTTTGTGTTGTTCGTTTAATATATCTTTTTTAGGCAAATAATTATTATTTTTCCAAAAAAACATACAAAATGACTCAATTCCTTCCTGACAATTTGCTTGGATTGTTCGCGCCACGTCCTCCTATTCAATATAAACCACCACCTGATGACCTTTTTATAAATCGAAAACACATTCCAATAACTGGAGTTGCGGAGTACGTTCAACAATTTGAGGTTTGTTTTATTTTAAATTAGGTACTTAAAGGGGTTGTCTTTTCCAAACCACCAGAATGGGCGCAGCCACTCGAAAATAGGGAAGAAATAGGGCGAAAAGGCCAAAAATAGGGAAAATCCCCTATAAATAGGGTAAAAAACAACTCTGACTTAAAGGGGTTGTGTCCTTCAGGAAAAAGATAATTTTATTTTTTCCTTACACTTAATATGTATATAATGGTCAACTTTCTTCTTCCTCAATTTTATTCCATTCCCATGTGGTGTATTCAAATGATAAACGTTAATAAAGAGAAGATTATCTTGGGCCAATAATGACTGAAATGGCAAAAATGAAGATATTGATCCTAATGTTAATTTATATTTGGAGAAAAATTGTTTTTCCTTTATTAATGTCTCTAATTTGAATCTGCCACAGGGAAGTAGAGAAAAATTGAGGAAGAAAGGCTGACCATTTACATAATAAGGGAAAAATAGAAGTATGTTTTTCCAGCCGATACAAACCCTATAAGTACCTTAAATTATTTTAAGGACCCTAAGGATGCCCCACCAAAGGTTCGCATCGAAACTCGTGACGAAAAACGGATTCGCAAGAGAAAGGAGAGGCAAGAACTTATGGCTTATAAAATTGAACAGGGAATTGCTACCTGGACACCCGCAGATAATCCAAAAGCTACTGGTGATCCATACAAAACACTTTTTGTTTCAAGAATTGTAAGTTGTTCTTTTTTATTATTTTAGTAAATATAGAATTTACTTTAGGACTATGAAACTTCTCAATCTAAACTGAAACGAGTGTTTGAAAAGTATGGCAGAATTAAAAAGGTTTTTTTTTCATGTTTTTAAACTTTTATTGATATTCAGATTGAATTAATTCATGATTTAAATGGAAAGCCGCGGGGTTATGCTTTTATTGAATATGAGCACAAGTCGGATATGGCAGGTAACTTGTTTTAAAATTTAAAAAATTTCAAATTGTGCTACTTCTCAAAATATACTTTCCGATAAGCTTTTGTCGTGTTGATTTGTCCATTGCCAGATGAGTTTGATTATACCGCAAGGGCGTATCAAGGGGGGCTGGGGGGGCTAGAGCCCCCCCCCCCCCGAAATGGGGAAAAGGAAAAAATTTGGGGAAGGGCTGGGGCAAAAAAAGTGAATTTTTTTGGCCTACGGCCTCTGAAATTTAAAAAATTTTCGCCTGCGGCGCAAAAAATGGAAGAAATCTGGCTTCTTGGGCTCCAAAATCCTCAAAATTTTCGCCTGCGGCGCAAAAAAGTGAATTTTTTGGCCTACGGCCTTCCAAAATTCAAAAAATTTTCGCCTGCGGCGCTGAAGTGATGAAAATTTATGTACAAAAAAATTTGCGTTCGGAACGCCAAAATTTTGGCGCACACCCAATGTTAGCCCCCCCCCCCGAAACCGACCCCCTGGATACGCCCTTGTTATACCGAATCCATCCGGTTTTCAGTTGTACGTGACAAAGATATAGGCTTTCTAAAACCTTATAGGGCTTGTCTTCGTTGCTAAAAGACCAGATATCCGAACTTTATCCCATCGTAATTTGATTTATATACCGAGTGTTTCTGGGTTTGTTAACTTTCGTCAATTCGGCTTGGATCCTCATTCCCCTTCATTTTGATTTTCGGCTTACTAAAAAATCCCCCCTCTCTTTTATTTCCGCTATATTGCCCCATATTTTCAGTTCACCACGGATTCTCATTTTTAACTCTTGTCTTCTTATGTAGGTTTGTAAAGGCTTGGTAAATTTTTTGGATTTTTTATTTTTGTTTACTTATAATGCGGTTAGGTAAGAAAGGGTAATGGACATGGTAAGTAATGAAACTTAAAATTTTTTCCAGCTGCGTATAAAAAAGCGGATGGAACAAAAATTGATGGGCGTCGTGTTGTTGTAGATTATGAGCGTGGGCGTACAAAGAAAGGTTGGCTTCCTCGGCGTTTAGGTGGCGGTAAAGGTGAAACTCGACGAAAACGGGAGTCTAAAGCAGCGTTGGCGGCAAAAGAATGGGAAGAAAGGAAGGACTGATTGCTTTTTTTATTACAATTATGACAAGATGTTACACTTATTTTGATATTTATTTATTTTCAGTTTTTCATAAAAAAATGCTCAACTTTTCAATGCTTCTTTTATTCGTTTTTTCGACGATATCTTAAAATATTTAAACACATTTTTTAGATTCCTTTCAAGGAAAACTCATAAAAATGACTCAATTCCTTCCTGACAATTTGCTTGGATTGTTCGCGCCACGTGCTCCTATTCAATATAAACCACCGCCTGATGACCTTTTTATCAATCGAAAACACATTCCAATAAATGGAGTTGCTGAATATGTTCAACAATTTGAGGTTTGTTTTTTAATTGTTAAAAAATTCAGGTAATAATTTTGGAAGTCGCCCCCTTTTTCCGTTCCCCTTACCATTTTGAGCTTTTTCTGTTGATATATAATTTATTATACATGTATTCGAAATACTATTTGAGCTCGGTAGAATGATACAAAGATTGGGCTCTTTCGAATATATATAATAATTTGCCATAAAATGAGAAAAAATAAGAAAAGTAGAAAGGAAAAAAGAGGGCGACTTCCAAACTTATCAAAATTAATGTTTTCAAGGACCCAAAAGACACTCCACCGAAGGTTCGCATTGAAACTCGCGATGAAAAACGGATTCGCAAAAGAAAGGAGAGGCAAGAACTTATGGCATATAAGATTGAGCAAGGAATTGCTACATGGACACCCGCAGATAATCCTAAAGCCACTAGTGATCCATACAAAACGCTTTTCATTGCTAGAATTGTAGGTTCTAAAAAAAGGGTAATGGTCTCGATTGTATGAGACATTTTCTAGTATTTCCTAGTTTCTTTACTAAAGCATCTAGAATGGATTCATTATTAATCCAAATATTATGTATATAATCCATAAGATTAACAGTGGTCCGTGATGGTTCTTTGGACCGTTGGTCTAATTCCCTCTTTCTATAGTTACGCGTAGAAATAATGTCCCACACAAACGAGGCTATTACAGAAAAAAGAGCTAATTTGATAAATTATCTTAAAAGTATTTTTCATTAAATTTTAGAATTATGAAACGTCGGAAAACAAATTACGTCGTGAATTTGAAAAATATGGCAAAATCAAAAAGGTATTAAAACTTTGAACAACGCACTCTTCAATTTATTTAAGGTAGTATTGGTGCATGATAAGACTGGAAAGCCTCGCGGTTATGCCTTTATTGAGTATGAACATAAGTCGGACATGTCGGGTAAAATTTATTTTTTGTTGGCTCTTTCGGGTTCTTTAAACATTTTTGAAAAGTCAAAAACGGCGCAGCGGTAAGATGGTTTTTTCGAAAACAAAAATTTAGTCTTTTCTCTTTTAATTTTGATTTTCGTTATATTGCCCCAAATTTGCAGCGTTTGGGAAACGAGAGCCAATCTCTCGATGGGAAATAATTTGATTCTCAGTTCTTTTATCAATTCACTGAGTGCGTAGGTTTGTTAAGGCGCGGTAAAATTTTTGGAATTTATTTTTTGATTTTCTTTGTATAACGCGGGTAAGTAATAAATAGTGGGTAAGTGGAAAACAGCAGGAATGCTGATGAAACCCGAATTCCTTGGAAATACTTTTTCAAAAAGGTAAAAATGTAATGTAAGAAGGTAAAACCTCGTCAGAATATTTTCGTATCTATAATATTGGAAGCATTTTTTGAGTAATTTTATTAAAATAATTTTTTATATTTTTTCCTTCTGACGCTTGTTTCTTTACTTACATTACATACAAAAAGCGCCACAATCTCAAAGCCGAAGCAAACAGGAAAATCTGTGAGTTTCGCTCCAGACGGTATTTAAGAATTTTTTTGTATTTGACTGCTATATACTTCAACTTTTATTTTTTCGAAAATGTTTTTGGGGGGTTTAAGCTGATATTGACACCCTTGTATTTTTTGTTAAGTAAGTTTGAACTGAGAGGTTTGCTTTTTAATAAACTTGGAATTTGAATGTCTAAAAATTCTACTAGAACCTCAAATAATTATTTACAGCTGCCTATAAAAAAGCTGATGGCACCAAAATTGATGGTCGTCGCGTAGTTGTTGATTACGAACGCGGGCGCACAAAAAAGAGCTGGCTTCCACGACGTCTGGGAGGAGGTAAAGGGGAGACGCGGCGAACGCGCGAATCTAAAGCAGCGTTGGCAGCAAAAGAATGGGAAGAATCTATGGCTAATGGAAGTGAATATTCGAGAGGAGGTAGCCGGGAGCATGGACGAAGTCGGGATCGTCGAAGCCGTTCAAAAGAAAGAGATCGTCGTTAATGGAATGATGAAAATAAGACTAAATTTTGTGAGTTTTCTATTAAAGAATTCGATATTTTGGCTTGATAGTTTTCTATGTATTTTGTATTTCAATTTTGCATGATTATAAAGTTTTGGGATAAAATTAACTACATAATGTTAATTATTTAAGAAGTTATTTAATTATTTAACTTTATTAAGAAAAAATGTGGTACTTAACCGTTAAATAAACTTAAAACGTTCCCTCTTCTGTCGTAAATTTATAGGGGTTTTTTTTAATTTTATGGTTAGCCCCCATAAAGCAATAAAGCGTTTCATTTTTGATCGATTCCGCATTAACTTCAAATTTCCTGTTTTATTTCGTCCATTCTAATTAAACACTAACATTATATGTGTGTGGTAGGATTACCTCTACTGATGCTTGCAATGCGTACAACTGTGAAAGGTTGACGATAACAAACTTGCCTCAACCTATTTGATCATCTGGTATTTTTATAGTGCAAGTTTATTTGTTTTTCTGACTTATGAAGACAGCGACTCACATTTCCAATGAATTACAAATTAAAAAATTTTTTATTTTTGCGGACTTTGGACGTTTCTTCTAACTTTTTAGAACATTTTCTCTGCAAAGTTTATCGACGTTTAATTTCAGCTGTCCCCTCTAACATTTGCATTTACTATTTATGTATAAAATTATGCTTCGGAAAGATAAGGAATTGAACACAGCAACCGACCCTATTCTTATCTCTGTATCGTGTCACTTAACGAAAAGTTTGGTCAATTTTCTGTCAAAAAATTTAAAAAAATATTCCTAACTAAAAATATTTTCTTCAATTAAAAATTGAGAAAAAAAATTTTTTTCTTTCAATTTACCAATTTGCAATGTTGGGTGGGAGCTAACTCGAGGAATTCCAACTCACGGAACAGACAGGTCGCGGAACGACAAGTCACGGAATTACCAAATCACGGAACGACCAAAATACGGAATATTTTAAAAATCAGAATATTCTGAAAAAACAGAATTTTTATTAAATTCTGTTTTTTAAATGTTTTAATTTGTTAAAAAAGTCTATTTTTCAAAAATATTCAGATTTTTCAGAAAATTCCGATTTTTAGATTATTCCGTGTTTTGGTCATTTCGTGATTTGGTAATTCAGTGATTTGTCGTTCCATGACTTGTCCGTTCCGCGAGTTAACCCGACACGGTGAAAATTTATTTATTTTTATTTTCTCAACTTGCCCGCGTTTATTTTACATCATTAACTAAATCGATCGTTAAAGAATAAATTTTTTGATAAAATCTTTTTCTTTTTTTGTGTTAGAAGTTCACTTGTTTTACTTTTTAAATGTTAAAAAATATTTTTATTATCGTGTCACATTGATAAAAAATATTTTTTTGTTAGATTTTGGATTTATGTCAATTACCTTTTAATTTTTAATGATAACTTGACAAACAGAATTTTCAAATAATTTTTTTAAAAATTTCCATTAAATTATGGCCAAATTATTAACTGATGAAGCATTCCAAAAATTGTTGTTTGACCTTCTGTGCGTGTGGCACGATGTTCAGGTTTTGCTTTTTATGAAGGAATTCGTTAAAATTTTATTCAAAAAATTATTTTTTAGCGTCACTATGACCCGCCAATTACACATACTGAGGAGGAGAAAATGCAAAAGGTTTGAATAATTTTTTAGAACTAAAATTTCAAGTATTTTTGGTTGATTCATAAATTAGAGGAGAGTTGTGAAATTGAAATAGGCAATCCAGGAGAATAGGGGCTTCTCCGAAAGAAAATTTTCAAAATAAATCCGACAGTCACGGATCAAATTCCGAATTTGGGTTCGGGATTCGACTCTCAAAATCTGAGCTCTAATTCGTAATCAGCATATTTTCCACCCTAGAAAAATCCTTTTTCTTGTTTAAAAAATTTTTTTGGAAGAAACCCCAATTCTCCGGGATTGCCTTGAAATAAACTTAAAAAAATTCCCTTTGTTAAGGTGAAGCAATTGATTTGTAAATTGTTGGGTGAAATTGATGGTCGAGTTAAACGCATCCAAACAATGTTGTCGACAACGCCTGATGCTGAACAAGTCTTTTATTTTCCAATTCTTTTTTATTCTTAAATTTAGGAATTTATTGAAGAATGGTCTTTACTAACTTGGAATGTTCTTTGCATCACAAGTCGTCTGCAAAACGAATTAAATGTTTCCGTTAAATCGCAAGAAGATAAAGTTATTTTTAACAAACTTAATATGGCTTTGGTTGATCTTGTAAACAATTCTAGGTTGAGTAGACGAGTTGAGGGTTAAAATTCTAATTTATTTTTTAGAGCTGCATTGAACCCTTTATCAGTTCATATTGATGCTACATTCGATTTATTAGCCAACTCGTTAAGCGAAACTATGCATATATTGCATGGACTTTACCGAACATTAAAATCTAATAGACAAATGAATCCTGATGAGGTTCAGGATTTTGCTCAGAGGTTTGGTATTTTTGGTACTTTATTAGTTTAAGGATACCTTTTTTGAAGGAAAATTTTTTAAATAGATTTCTAAAACCCGTCAACCTGGGATCAATAAACGTGTCGATTTTTCGAAAAAATTTAAAAGGGATAGTTTTCAATGGGTTTTCATTGTCTCAAGATTCCTCAATGTCCTTAAATATTACAATTTTTAATTTCATGTAAATACAGGGTGCTACATAAAAAAGAGTAAAATACAAAAAAATTGTTAAGTTTAATTGAGTTTTAGAGTAGGTCCTTGACAAGGAAGAATTATTCTAATTTAACGCACCCTGTATTTTTTATAAAAAATCTCACAGGTTACAATCTTTTTCTGACGAATATCTGAACCCGTTCGTGGAACTTTTCAAGGTGTTTTTTCTCTTCTTTATTTTTCTTTTATTAATTAGCCACCGCCATGCGCGGTGTGCATTTTTTAATACACATCCAATCTCGCTTTAGTCCTATTGTAACGAGCAAACTGTCCGTTTGTGGCAGGACTTGCGAGATATTCAAATCGCATGGTAGGTTATTGGTATTTTTAAAATAAAAATTTTATAATTAGTCGGACTTCACGTACCCATACTTCTTGGGGCTAAAGATCGAATCTTATAATAAGGGGAGATTTTAGTTTGGATATTGCTCTCCTTCCCCCCCCCCCCCCATTAAGTAACCAATCAAATTTTAAAAACTAATTTTAGATTTCGTATCTTATTTAGGTTTATAAGTAGTGAAGTCTGACTATATTTAAAAATGAAAATTTTATAATTAAGATATTGTTTATTTGGTTTTCAGTTTGGTCAACAAAGTAACACTTCCAGTGGAACCTGTAGTCCGCTTGGTTAGCTTCTACTCTTTTCAGATGCATCGTTTGGCGATTTTGGCGGCTAGATTACAGGTTATTTCAGACAAAAATAGAATAGAATATTTTTTCATTTGACAGGGTTTTCGCTATGAGCTCACAGTGAACCATCGTCAAATGTTTGGAGATTACGATCCTGTCAGACCATTATCTGACAGTGTTTTTTCTGCTTTAGAACTGTTAATGGCTGATTGTGGTTAGAATAATTTTGAAACTATTTTTTTATATTTAAATTATTTTTGATTTGAAGGTAGCTGAATTATCAAAAAAATTTATTTATTTTTAAAATAATTTTTAAATCCAAAACTTAGTACTCGCCACTGAGCCATCAATGAATCCAATTCTCGTCACGAACAATCTCTTTTCAATTTATTGTGGTGCTTTGGCTAGGGGTGTTGTTTTTAAGCAATTCAACGTTCAAATTGTAAGACTTTCTAAATTAAATTTTTTCGTTTTTTAATTTAAACTTTTTTTCAGGTTAGCGAAGATACGGCTGAACATATACAAGTAATTTTTTTTATTTTGAATAGATAAAATAGTTTTCAATTTATTTTTAGTCAGAAATGCGTAGACAACGCCTGCTTCAACAACCTTCGCCTATCGCTCAAGTTCCTTCTGCCGCATTATTAGCTATGAAACCAACGAGCGGAACAAAACGGTCAAATGCTCAAACAATGAATGGTAATTATTAAATATTTTATATTAAATATAATTGGAGCTCATTCATGTATCTGACATGAGTAAATTATTTCTTGTAAGATGAGTGTATTCTTCATTATGGGGTCAGGGATTCTGCCGACCCTATTCTCGGAATCAGGAATTTTGTTTTTTTGTCGGCAGGGTCTCTTGTGGGGGTATTCAAAGGCACCTCCCCTCTAGTGTGGTCCAACTTCAATATTTTTTTTATTTATTTTTTCTATTAAAAATTAGTTAATACAATAGATACAAGTGGAAACACGACAACTGCGCATAAGAAAAGTGATATAAATAGTAAAGAAGTTGTTACCATCTATCCGGCATTTAATACGTAAAATTTTGAAATTATTAAAAAAAAATTTTTTGACAATTTCAGTAAAAATCGTTACTGGGCTGCAATTTATCCTCATTTATTGTGCACAACACGTCAAAAGGGGCGACATTCAACTAACAATTCTTACCAAGTTAATAAAAATTTATTTAAAATATTTTTATATTTTAAGGATTTATCTCCGAGTGGCGTTGACCCAACAAAGTTGATAAGCGGGAAAAGGCCAATTTTTTACTTTTATATACGGGCGACAATGTTTAGTCCATCTGGACGTTTTGCGGATGCTCACACGCTCTCACTTCCATTTACTATTGCAACAAGACGAAATCAGGTATAAAATTTTTTGAACTTACATATTAGCATTTTGAATTTAAAACTAAACGGGTTTATGCATGATGAGCCTTTATGAGTCCAATGAAATTTATTAGTTAAATAAAAACTAATGAGTTCGAACAAAAAATTATGAACTTAATAAAAGCATATGCCATAAATTCGCCATGCCATAAATTGCTAAAAAAATTTCTGGCTCAACAATTTTGGTAACAATCTCTTTAGCTCGATGAAAGGAATTGTTTAATACTACATTTGGAAAGATTAGGAAATCTTAAAGCATATTATGTCTTGGCGACCTTATGGACGCGCGACTTTTCGGGTGTGTCCCCTCATGAAATATGTATATGTAATTGGGCGCATAAACTAGATCATAGCCTTTTTTAAATTAATGATGGGCAAAATCAGAATTTTGACGCAAATTATTATTTAATTTTTGATCTAATTTTTAGGACTATCAAGTACAACGAATGATGAGTTCTTATACAGCTACTTGTTTTTGGCTCTATGGAAATAATGTTCAAGATGGTCTTTTACTTCAATGGGTGGAGGAAACTGCAATGGGATGGGAACGCTTTAAATTTCTTTTTATGCAATATTTTCGTGTTAATGCTGAAGTTGATAGAGGATTGCAAAATAGTGATTTTGATTTACTTCAAGTAAAAATTTTCAAAAAAATTTTTAATTTTATAATCCTTTTCTAGTACAAAATTCAATGTAATGATTGTTCCCCTCCTTCAAATATTCAAGGAATTGGAGATGAACGTTTGCTTTTTTTTATTTAAAAATAAATTTTAAAATATTTTTATAGGCAAAATTACTTTTAAAAATATTTTGTGTCCACATTTGCGGTATGAATGTGGGTCTACAAATGTACGTTTTAGTGTTTGGAGAGGGCTTCTTGAACTTTTACAATTATTTCAAGTTTGTTTAAATTTAATAAAGAATGTCTGGAATTGAGGCACGTTCCTGGCCCTCCTTTTTCTTCCTTTTAATTTTTCTTTCCCTCTATTCCACTTATTTTACCTAACATAATACGGTTGAGTTGAAAGAATGAAAAAAGAGGGCCCACAAACCTAGCTATTGCCTTATAAACTTGCCGGATATTTTAATATAAAATTATTTTCTACTTTTTAGGACAATAAAACCTGCGTTAAAAAATTATGGGAAAAGAATTTACTGATGGGATTTATGGAATTTGATCAGGTTGCAAAACTCCTATCACCATACCCCTCTGCACTAATTATGCGACTTTCTTTTGTTACTGGTGGAACAATTTGTATAACTTTAAAATCAACTGTACATCAACATTCTTCTGGTATTGATTCAATAATTACAGACGAACAAGTAATTATTTGCTAATTTTTTAATTAAAAAAATCGATCTTACTATACTCCCTTGGGATTGGGAGATATTAATTAATTTTTTAGGGTTAATTTCCTTAGGAAGCATATCTTAGTTTCAGTAACCGTTCAAATTTTAGATGTATTAGTATACTAATACATCTACTATGTATTAATATCGGTGGTATATTCTAGTTATGTTTTATTGAGTTAACTTACAAGAAAGTTTTAGACTTTCTCAAACCCTTTTTGCAACTTAAAAAAATTTACAATTTTTTACAGACTTCCTCAACATCATATGTTGAACCAATGCATCTAGAACCTTTAGATCTTAAAAAATTGCAAGCAAAAAGTCTTGTTGAATATTTGAGAGATATTGCTTTAACAGAAAAAATAAAATATTTAATTAATGCAAATGGAGAGCCTCTTCAAATTGGCGAACTTCTTCTTGAGCAATTTAATGAAAAAAGTGCTGGTGGTGTTGGAGAATTGGAAACAAGTCGTTGTATTTCTTCTAATGTTACACATTGTGGGGATGTTGGTGCAATGCAGCAAATAACGTTAGCAATTTAATTAATTTGAAAAAATAACCTTTTGTTGACGTTGCATATTGAAGAGTGGTGAATTTAAAGATTCGAGTTGAGACGGGGGCATGGTACTAACCAGGGGACACTACATGTTTAAGGACTTTTTTGAGAGTTTTTGCCCTAAAATTTGACTTCGATCCTTTTAGGAGTAACGAAGCTTACCCTAATTTACGTTGAGCGTCCCAAAATTATCGAGACGGGTCTTCTAATGAATTAATATGACCATCATGACTCTGTTTCTAATACATATACAAAAATGACATTTTAGTTTTTCAATAGCCGTTTAATTCCTTTAGGATGCTTTTTTATTTGTTCCAGAAAATTTTTAAGTTAAATGAATTTTTTAATTTTTTTTCTTTACAGCTTCACAGCAATGCGTATAGCTGTTGTTACATGTAAAGTTAAACCTCCAAGTGCTGATATGGATTTTGATGAAGTTGTGCAACCAAAAGGTACTTCACCTGTTCCAAGTAGCAGTAGTTATTCACCTTTTAATCCTTATTTCTTTGGCGGCGGTGGAAATAATAACACAAATCAAACAAATAATTATCGTCTTCCTGCAGCTAATGATGATTTTGTACGAGAAGTTATACAGTTGTGCAATTTTTGGGGGAAATCTAAACAGGTATAGAGATAAATTCTGATTTTATTTTTACTCAAAAGTATGGAGTTCGGAATTCTGAAAGAATCATAACTGGGTATTGAGATTGAATGACTGGGGCCTGAACCATGAAACTAAGTTTTATCGTTTTCGTTTTATCCGGGTTTCTCCAAAAAGACGGAATGGGCCTGGATTAGTGCCGGAACCGCAAATTTGACCGGAACCTGATTTAATTTTTTGGTTCCGGGTCGGAACATGAAGTCTACAACCAAACCGAAATCGGAACTAAAAAATGCCGGAACTTCCGGCCTATGGGAACTGGAACTTACGGCGAAGCTCTAGCTTAGTTCGGATCCAGTTCTTGTCTCTAACGTGATCACTGGTGATTAACCAATCTATTAAAATTTAGGACTTGACAGTCTTACTTGAACAAGCTGCTGAAGAACAATTCGCAACACTCTCCCTCAATTCAGGGCATTCCTCCCGTGCCCAAAGTATTTATAGAGACCCTTCTATAACTACTGGAAATGGTGGCAGAAGAATAAGCACAGGAAGTGGAATTATAGAGCAACAACAACAACAATCATCAACAACCCCAACACTTTTAGTTCAACAACAACAACCAAATAATAATTCTTTTGATTTATTTTCTCCAACAAATTCAACACAATTTCAATTACAAAATAATTTTTTAAATCAACAAAAACAGCAACAAATAATAAAATTGGAACAAAGGATGTTACAGCAACAACAACAGCAACAAAATAATAATAATGGACATTCCTCTTTTTGAATTTTAATTAAAAAGAAACGATTTAAAAATTAACATTTTGTTTTACAGTCGAATCTCTCCAGCATGACTTCCACCAAACGTCCCACAGAAGAAAGAACCTCTATGTATGTCTCGAAGAGTGTCATTGTTAGAGAGATTCGATTATATTCCATATTTAAAAAGGCTTTTTTAATTTGTTAATTTTTCTGAGTTTCCTTCTTTTAAAAACCCTTAAACCTCTGGGCCAAATTCAATTTTGACATTTCATTGTTACTTTTTTAATGAAAAAGAAATTAGAAAAATGAGCGTATTGACATTTATTGCTTCTCAATTTTAAAATGATTAATTTAAATTTCGGAATCTCCACAAAATTCAAAGTCTCTACAATTGTTTTCAACCGATCCACAAATTTTATTTTTTGTTTTTACACATTTCCATCTATTAATTTATTCTAAACAAATTTATCAATTTTATTTTTAATATTCCAAAAATACCAAAAAAAATAATCTTTTACCATTCGAAATTAAAAAAAAAAGATGGAAGAATTTTTAAAATAATCTTTTTAATGAAATTCTTTATTTAAAATTTATAGTATTACAGTCGGACCTCTTTTTTGTGAACCGCTAGCTACTCCATAACACTAACATCTTAGTTTACATTTTTAATTAGATCTAGCTATTCATCAGGTGTGGGACTTTAATTTATGGCCCTTATTTTTGGGTGAAACCTCATTTTATCAAGACACGTAACTGATGTCCGACTGTATTTTTCATTCTCTGTTGATTCTAATTTTATTTTTTTAATTTTTAAATATTTACGTATAAAAGATTAAATACTATTACATATTAATCAAAAATTAATTATTAAATTAATTATTTAAATTATTTATTTTTTTATTTAAACGTTTCCATGATTTTTTCTTTAGGAAAAATGTACAGAATTATTTAATTATCAGTAAAATAATTTTACATAGGTGTTTACCTCCTTTTTTTAAAATAAATATTTTATCAGTTATTTAAAAATCGAGAAAAAAAGGAGAATAAGATGAGTAATACTTTAACTTGTTCTCTCTTTTAAATATTTTTTTGAATAAATTTGACAAAAAAATTAAATTCTTTTTGTGTCCAAATAGAGAAAAGAATAAACCCATTAAATATTTTCGTGTGGAAATAAAGAATAAAATACAAACTATTTGAATAAAATAAATAATTATTTACATATTTTAGCTTAGTTAAAAATTCGAGAGGGAGAAAAGTTATCAATCAAAAATAAACATTTTTGATTTTTACTTTTTCGTTTTAAAAAAGAAATAAAAATTTTTTTGAAAGAATATTTTTGTGAAAAATATTTACTTTTAAGAATCAATTAGAATAGAAATTAAATTAGATAGACCCGGATTTGGATCCATACCAGCCCTGATCCATACCTTCATTTTACCAGGGCTGTGCTAATTTCACCCGCATCCTTCGCATATTTCACATTTTTCAGCGCGAAAAGTTTCGCATTCCACATATCGCTTTTTATTTTTAGATTTCGCCTAGCCCTGATTCATACATTCATTTTTCCTGGATCCAGAATCAAGATCATGGCATTTTTTTAGTGTTCCTTGATTTTTCTTGGACTAGAGGTCCTTAACCAAAATCAAGTTCAGGATTTTTAAAATCTCCGATCTCTATTAAATTTTTAAAATAAGCCAAAAAAAATTTTTATTAAATTTAGGTCTATAAATGATTTTCTAAATTTTAAATTATTTTTTCTTTAATTAATTCAAATTAAAAATTAAATAAAGAATAATGTCAATAAATTCATCACAATCTATTTTGGAAGTTAATAACAACAATAATAATAATTTAAATAATACCTCACTTCAACTAAATACTCAATCGCTTTCTCATGTAAATTTTAATAAAAAATTTAATTATAACAAAAAATATTAACAAAAGATATCCAGCCAGATAGTTCCAAACAAAATTTTCCAGGATCGAAACTAATATTGTTAAGATTGGTTTTGGTTTTAAGCTGGAAACTTTTAAGGTACTTTTTGGACATGATGCCCTCTCCCTATTTTGAATCTAGCAATAAATTATTCTTTTTGTCTTCATGCCTATCGAATGACATATGTCACGTTCCGAACTTTTACCTCCGGTACACTACACTATATCCAAAACCGGTATTTAATTGAATCACATCTTTAATCAAGACCTTTAGAAAATTCCAGAAACCTTTTTAAAAAAATCTAAGAGTTTTCCCTGTTTTCAGTCAGCTCTCACTTGTACTACACCTCTCCGAAAATTTAACGTTAAAGTGAGAGTGTCTTACAAGTGAGGGCCCTACTCTAATATTTTTTTAAATTTTCTAAAGATTTTTGGCCCCTTTTTTCGCTCAACAAAATTTTTTACAAAAGATGCTGAATTTGCTAAAAATAAATTTAAAAGAATAATTTTGTTATTATTTTTAATATTATTTATTTTGAGAATTATTTATTATATTATTGAATTATTTAGAACACAAGTAAGGGATTTTTTAAATATTGATAATAGTCTCGTTTGTTTTTTAAAATATTTCCCGATAAATCTATAGAATTAAATCCCCACCTCTAAAAATAATTCCAACGGTCTACAACGGTGCTGTGAACAATAAGATTGGTGGATTATGGAAAATATTCGGATATCGGGCCTTTTTTCGGATAATATTTATGGCGATATAAATCCACTACTTGACTAAATTGTACCGGCGTTGATTTGCCATACAGAAGCAAGGTCTAGGATTAGAATCAGCCTTCGCCAGCCTTATATAATATATAGTAGAGATCGGAATTTTGTTCCGTACCGTAATACCGTATAATACCGATACCGATAAATACCGATGAAATTAAAAATGTTGCCGTACCGTATTCTGTACCGTACTACCGATACGGAATACCGATAAATACCGAAAAATACGGCCGTAGTACGGTACGGTCCGATCTCTAATATATAGAGATACCGCTGACCTACCTTCTTTCATTCTATAGTTCTTTGTATAAAATCGCACACAAACGTGACTATTACGTAAATATTTTTAATAATTTTTTGTAAAAAAGAATCTAACATTAACTTGGGCTAGAACAAGTTTACAATTAACATTTACTTTGAATGCTTTTGGTTGTTATGGTTGGCTTTACAGATATGGAAATAATTATTTTAATAAATTTATTTTTGGATTACAAAATGTTTATAACAAAAATGGAAATTATTTTGTAAATTTAGATATTCTTTTAGAAATTATTTTAAAAGATAAATTGGAGGGTGCGGCGGAACAGATAATAAATACATTTTAAAATACCCTCAAATATTATTTTAAAATTTAATTGTAAACCGAGTGAGGGGGCATACCGTAAAACTGAATAATTACCCTGGGTAATTATTGTTTTTATTATTCTCTAATTTATTGAGGGAGGGTAATTATTTTAGGTTTGAAATTTTAGCTTGTTTTAGAGTATTTGTTGGGGGGGGGGAATTATTTGAGGGAGGGCAATTAATACAGGTCATATTTAAGGTGCCTTAATTTAAAGTACCCCTCATAAATTAAACGGTAGATTTGACTGGTAAAAAATCCTTTTTAACTGTTTTTCCTGAACCTCCGAAATACCTCTCTTTACTATCCTTCCTTTTTTAAATATTTTTTAGAAAAATTAAAAATTTTATTTAAGCAACAACAACAATCCCACCAATTAATTTTAACTAAAACCCCTCCTTCATTTATTCGTCCATTTATTTTTTCGTTTATATTTATTTTTACAAGTATTATTTGGTGTTCTTTACAAATATTACAAATAGAACAACAAAAAGGATTAAATATTACTAATGTTAATTTAATTGAAGAAGGAGAAAATAATTTGTAAATATTAAATAGATTTAAATTTTAAGTTGAAATTTAGCCTAAAAATGCTCAGAACAAATAAGACCCAAAAAAAGGAAATTTGATAAATTTTCGAAAAAAATTTATGGGTTTAGGATACGCGTCCAGGGCTGGGCGCAATTGTGGATTGCGTGAAATTGTATGTTTTTTTTGACTTGCGGATTGCGTTTGCGAATTTTAAAATTGCGGTTGCGCCAGCCCTGTCCTGGACAGCAAACACGAAATTAATGCATTGCTGGGTATTTGGCATTCGTTGTTTAAAAGTTATACCCAGAGCACTGATTGCCAGAGCACTGTCTGTTTTCAAAGAAACGTATAAATCCCCATGGAACACACGTTTTAAAATCAAAGTTAAAATTAATCCTTCTAAAAAATCCTTCACACTTTTTTCTTAAAAAAATATTTTTTCCTATATTAATTAATTAAAATAATTCTAAATATTTTTCCAGCTATCCAACAGCAATTAAAATATTTTTGTATTCAATATTTATTTTATTAACTTCATTTTTGTGTGCATATATTGGGGCTATTTCTTTCGGAATTTTTCATATTTCATTTAAAACAGTCCTTTCACATTGGGAAATTTTTAAAAAAGAATTGTTTATGCCAGCAATTGAAAATGGACAAATTAGTGTAAATTTAACAGTAAAACCCTCATTATAAGATAACCCGTAAATATATCTCGATTAAGTGACGTCTTTTTAATAATTAAAAAAATTTAGGTCTTGGATTAGGTTCTGCCTTCACTGGCCCTAAAGACTATATCAGACAGACTTCGGGGCGGGGGTCAGGGATAATTGTGAAAAAATCTTTCGGGAACGAGGTCAGAGTAGAGGATTGGTGGGGGACGGTTCCTGACGGGATTTTTCGAGTTTTATCCCTCGGGATCAGACCTGTACGAAACGTTTCGTTTCGTTTCGCTGTTTCGTTAGTTTCGTTATGTTTTTTACTGTTTCGTCTCGTTTCGTGACGAAACACTTTTTAATTTGTTTCGTTTCGTTTTGTTAACGAAACACCTGTGTTTCGTTAACGAAACATTACCTATTTTTTATGCCAAAATATTACCCAAAAACTGTAAAATTTCCCCTTTGATGATGTCAATTTAAAAAAATTTCGCCTGCGGCGCTGAAAAAGGAAGAATTCTGGCTCCTTGGTCTCCAAAATTCTCAAAATTTTCGCCTTCGGCGCTGATAAATGATTCACGTAGATCTACAACTCTCGATAACCGAATGTATTATCTGTTAAAGCCAATCATGAGTAAATACCAATCATGGCCAAATTTGAGCCAAACCAATGAGCCAAATTTCTTTTTCACTTATTTTTTCTTCCTTTTTCACCACCGCAAGCAAAAATTTTGAGATTTTTAGAAGATCCCTAAGCCAAGATTCTTCCTGTTTCACCGCCGCAGGCGAAAATTTTGAAATTTTCGGAAACCGAAGGAAAAAACTAATTTTTCTATGTGAATTAGACTGGATGGACGGACATAAGGGAATCTCGGTGATCCCACAATATTATATGATAACATATAGGCCATTATGGCTAATTAACATGCTTAAAATTAAATAGTTAATAAAATAATTAGGTTTTTTGAAATTTTTTTGGAAATTAAAATGTTTCGTTTTGTTTCGTTTCGTTTCGTTAAATTTTGACTGTTTCGTTTCGTTTTGTTAGCGAAACGATTTTTAAAAATTTTTGTTTCGTTTCGTTTCGTTCGAAAAAAATTTGGAGTTTCGTACAGGTATGCTCGGGATCCCATCACGGCGTCGGTTAAGTAAAAAAATCCCGACTCGGAATCCCGGAAGTACAATTTTGCCGATCCCTAGTCAGAATATAGGATTGGGGGCAACTCGAAGGGTGTGTCTTATAATGACCTCCATCTGTAATTTAAAAAATAATATTTTTCAGAACCCAAATATATTTAACCAAATAGAGATGTCTATCAGTTCATTATTAATTTTGTCACACAATATAAGCAATTTATTAGCTTCATTGGGAATGAGTCTTTTTATGAATGCTATTTTCTTAAATATATCTGCTGGTTTTATTTCTGGAGGCGGTGGAGAAGGAAGTGGTGGGGAAGGTAAAGCTAGGCTATTATTTAATCCTTCAATTAATTTCAATTAAAAATTAAGGCAATTCTTCCCTTCTTTACAACATAATTTACCATATAAACAATGTTAATTGGAGTGTGTTAAGTATTGTTTTACTAATATATACATTGAAAGGGCCCTATGATGTTCATTCTATTGTTTGTTAAAAAAATTTTTTGAAGATTTTTTTAATTTTATCAGATTCAAGAAATTAAAGATCAATTATTACTAAATGAAAATATTTGGGAAAAAAATGATGAGACAAAATTAAAAGTAAATTTAGGGGAAAAATTTTATTTAAGGAAAAAAATAATTTTTTAAAGTTTTGTGAACGCACAAAAAATTTAGTTGAACGAATCGAAGGAATTAAAATTCATAGAATTGATCAACAATTATTTAATTTGGTAAATTAATAAATTAATTTAAAAATAATTACTATTTTTAAAGGTATTTATTGCGCAAATGGTGTTATTGTGGTTACTTGTTGCTTATTCTAAATATTCTAAAAAATAGAAAAAAGGGAGAAATATGTGAAATACGAGAGCTTATTTAATAAATAAATAATTTTATTAAATTTTTTCAATAAAACATTATAAAAGCAAATTGTTGATTACATTCGAATCTCGTTTTTTCACATCCACGGAGTTAAAAAATAACCTTGTAATAATGGAAACCGGTAATCTTCTAGTTTACTGGTCCAGAAAAAAAATTAGGAGCAAATGATGTTTAGCTATTTTTGAGGGTTACCAGTAGGTAATCGAATGTGCTGAGTTCGAATCTGAGCTTAGAATGGATTATTTTTGAACCCCGGATCCGAATTTGACAAAGTCGGATTCGGGTTAAAAATTCGAAATTAAAAATTTAGGACTATTATTACTCCTCTCCTCTAGCGGAGTTGAACGGTATCAAAATCATGATGTTTCGACAACTTTGGACGAAGTTAATGTGTCTGATTTGTATACGGAAGTCCTACCAAGCGTGTATTTAATTGATCATAACATCGTCTAAAATTGTCGAAGCATCATAATTTTGGTAATCATGTAGAATCTGGGATACACTTAAAAATTTGCTTGTTTTTTTCTGAAAATCATTTTTTATATGTAATCGACCATGCTGAGTCCGAATCTGAACCTAGATTTTATTTATTTCAAACCCCGGACCCGATTTCGACCATGTCGAATTCGGGGTAAAAAATTCGAAATTAAAATTTTAGGGCTAATCTGACACGCCTATTCGAGCTGAGTCGATAGGTATTAAAATTATTCAGTTTCGACAACTTTGGACGAAGTTATGATCAATTAAATAACGTTGGGTTAGACTTCCGAATACAAATCAGACACCATAACTTCGTCCAAAGTTGTCGAAACTGAATAATTTTGATACCAATCGACTCAGCTCGAATAGGCGCTTCAGATTAGCCCTAAATTTTTTATTTCGAATTCTTACCCCGAATTCGACTTGGTCGAATTCGGTTTCGGGGTTCGAAATAAACAAAATCTAAGTTCAGATTCGGACTCAGCATGGTCGATTACCTATACAAAATTATTTTCAGAAAAAATATTAAGTCTTAAAGTATTTTTTAGGTGTATCCCAGATTCTACATGATTACCATAATTTTGATACCATTCGACTCAGCTCGAATAGTCGTGTCAGATTAGCTCTAAATTTTTAATTTCGAAGTGTTTACCCCTAATTCGACATGGTCGAATCCGGGTCCGGGGTTCGAAAATAATCAATTCTTTGCTCAGATTCGGACTCAGCACACTCGATTACCTACTGGTGACCTTCAAAAATATCTAAACATCACTTACTCCTAATTTTTTTTCGGGACCAGTAAACTAGAAGATTACCGGGAAACCTTAAATTTGGGGTATTGCTTCCCTCATCCATTGGCCAATCATTTTCTCGATTAATTACCCTGGGGAATTATTTTTTCAACCCTTCCTTGGCATGGGGAATTAATCGAGGGAGGGGAATTATTTGAGTTTTGGCATTTGAACGTGCAGTAGGGTATTTGGGGGTGGGGAATTATTGCTTCAACCCAACTCTAGCATGGGGAATTAATCAAGAGGGGGAATTATTCGAGGGAAAGGAATTAATCGAAAAAATACGGTACTACTTTGATTCTATCCCCAAATCCATAAATCCTAATTTGGTAATATTTTTTCTAGAAAATTCTAAAAATTGAAAAGTTGTTAAATTTGTATAAAAAAATTTCTAAAAAACAAAATTTATTAATCCTCTTCTTCTCCTTCAATATCATCATTATCATCAGATTCACCCTTTTCATCATCCCTCAATCCACTAATACCGTATTTCCTATATTAGAGCCCCACCCTCTGTTAGAGCCCCACCCTCTAATACAGCCCCACTTTAGAGGATAGTTGAAAAATAGAGCCCCACCCTTAATTAGAGCCCCACCCCAAATACAGCCCCACCTAAAAAATATTAAAGGAAAAAAATATCCCAATAACATTTTAGATGTATTAAGAGAGTTAAGGAAATAAAGGGGGATATCGATGATATCGTGATCATGGAGGAGGAGGGATCATGGGGATATAAGGATGATAATGAGGAGATAATCCCGATATCCGTAAAAATAACCTAATATCGCCTATATTCCTCCAAATCCCTCCTATTATCAGCGAAGGAGAAGTTCCAAAATTTCTCTGGAACCGGTTCCAGTTCTGGATCTGCTTTTTTATTTTCTTCAGTTTCAGTTCTGGAACCTGTTCCAAAGCTTCATCAAACAAAATCATTCATATGCCTCATAATACCCCCAGTCACCTAATATTTCCTTTAATCTGTCCAAATCTAACAATAGTTAATAATTAATCTAACTCTCATTGAACTATTGGGACTATTTTATTATTCATTGCTTAAAAAGTTTTTATTTTTCTTGAAAAATCGAAAAATAATCGATTCTCTTTCGATATTTTGCGGTTTTATTGACCAAACCTTCGGCTTATCTCTAGTTCCAATGGATAGTTAATAAATGGGATTTTATCTCAAAAGAGGGTTGAAAAATAGAGCCCCACCCTCAATTAGAGCCCCACCCTTTAATACAGCCCCACTTCGGCGGATAGTTGAAAAATAGAGCCCCATGGGGCTCTAATATAGGAAATACGGTATATCCCTGTATTTGCAATCCCAATAAAGTAATAATATCAAATAAATGCCCATCTTCTTCATAATTTGCTTGCTGTAAAGTTTCCAAAATTTGTTCTTCTTGAATTATAAATAAACGTTTTCTTTTGATTTTTTTCTTTTGTGGAGAGTTAATTGGGGTTTGAATAATTTCTAATTGTTTTTCAATATCTTTAATAAATGTTGTTAAAAATTCGGAAAGTGGAGGACGATGAATTGAATTTTTCTTTAAATTAGAAAAAATATTTTTTTGTTCTGTATTAAAGAATTTTTTAAAAATTAGTTTTCTAAGCCAGATGCTGGTTTTATGGATTTAGTGAATAGTTAAGCTAAAGCATGTTTTTTAAAAAACACCTCAAATTTTTTAAATTTTCCAAAAAAAAATTTTTTTTAAGCAAAGAATCTCTTGCTATTAATAAAAAGTTCAAGTTCAAATTTTAAATAAATCCCCGAAAGTAGGGTAGACTTTAGATTGATGACATTCTAAGTAGAGACCGGACAGAGGGGTCGGTTTGTATTTTTTCGATAGACATCGAAAAATATCGAAAAGATATCGTATCGATCTGATCTCTAATTCTAAGACTAATAGATTTTTAAAGAGGTTTTGTCCAGTGTTCATAAATTTCAATTTTGATCGTACTCGTACTTCGTACCACCCCTATTTTTTCTCGTACTCATACTTTGTAGCAAAGCACGAGTACGAATTTTGTTACGAGCTTATGAACACTGGTTTTGTCTCAGTACAATTTCTGCTATAAATCTTAAATGTTCTTTTTTTTAATTTGGAATAACCCATTTTTCTCGATAAAAAATTTTTTTTAAATTTACCCCGACAGAATTAGAAACTTCAACATAATTATTAGTTCTAATAACAGATGAATGTATTCTTTCATAAACATTCCAAAATTTAATAGAATATTTTGGTTGACAAAAAATAGGTAATTCCCAATCTGGGGGCTCTCCTGCTGGTGAATTAATTTTTAAAAATTGTTTAATTCCATATTGTTTTTGTGTCAAAGTTAATCCAATATAATTTTTGGCAAAATATTCCAAAAAAGAATTTAATTCGTTTGGAGAGTTTTGAACAATTAAATAAAATGCACGTCGAACATGTTGTTGTGGAATTAATGGAAGAGTTAATATATTTCTGTAAAAAAAGAAGGGAAAAATTAAAATAAGTAATTAGAATGATATTTTAAATGTAATGCTTTTTAAATGTAAGGTATTTACTAGGAAAAGAATTTACTAGAGTGCCCTGTTCTTGAAAGTAGGACAAGACTTTAGACTTTATTTTCAAAAACCCCTCGTAGGAAAAATTATCCTGTTAGAATTGATATTATTTCAAATCTAATCCAGCTACTTGTGGTTAAGGTCTAACCGAAATAAAGTCTCATTCAGAAATTTAGGTTGTCGAGATCGAGTTTTATCGAGATATCTTGATCTCAATTGATTCTCAATACGAAAATTTATTTGATTTTTGAAGCATTTGAATACTTAGGTATATGAGTAATTTGTTCAATGGCGGAGCAGGAAAGTATTTTTAATTTCCTTAAAAATAGTCTCAATTTACCTAAAAATTTTAATAGAAATTTTTCCAATAATCTGATCAGAATAAAGATTTTGCATTCCCAAAAGTCTCCATTTTCGTAACAAATTTTGGCCAAAATGAAACATACTTCCATAAAACTGGGCATACGGAAAAACCTTTTTTTAAAAAATAATTTTTTTAAATAAATTTAAATAATTTACTTGACTAGCTGCTTTAAACGAAATAAAATCAAAATCAAAAATAATTTTGAGAAAAGCCTTTGGTTGTTTAATTAAATTTTTTATTGCATTTAGAGACTCTTTAAAATATTTAATTTCTCTTTTAGGCAAAATACATTGAATACAGACAACAATTTTTTCATTAATTTCTGTTGAAATTGTAAAATTGTGTGACCATTTGAAGGGTATAAAATTGCTTGAATTAATTAACCATAAATTGTTTGTTTCGAGTAAATTGAAAAGCTAAAAAAATTAAAAATTTTTAAATTTGAATAGTCGACTCTCATCAAAAAATGCCCTTAAAATTTGGTTGACTATGTGAGTAAGGTTGGCGGTTCCTGGGAAATCTTCGGTTATCCGGAACAGGAACCGATATATTTTCGACCGAAAATTTTCGGTTGTCCGGTCTTTTTTCGGTTCCGGCCAACCTTACATGTGAGTAAATAGAAGCTGCAAATTTTTTTTCGATCAGAATCCGTCCTGACCCGAAAAATTTATTTAAAAATTAATTAAAAAACCGAAGGATGAGAAAAGAGTAGAACAACATCTTCTTCCCCTTGTCTATAAAATCTGCTATCATAAAACAAAATATTTTGGCCTTTAAAATTTAAAAGAAAATCAGGAAATTCAATATCCAATAAATTATTTGCAGTGTCAACGTTTCCAAACAGGCGTCTTCGGTGCCTTAAAAATAAAAATATTTAGTTATCCTTTCTAAATAAAAAAATTTTATTTTAATCAGGCATGTTTTTGGGTATGGATATATATTTATATTTTAACAATCCAAAGGTTCCCCCAAATCACAAATCAGAGATGGGTCGGAATTCCGATTTCCGGCGTTTTTTTCCTTCCGAGTTCCGACTTTTGAGCCAGTTCCGATTTCGGCTCTTCCGATTTCCGACACCTCTGACTGTTCCGACCCACCCAAGTAAATTTTTATTCAAATAAACCTATAAATTAAATGTCCAAGTGCCTGATCACTTCCCATTTCAACAGAAACATCATCAGAAATATTCGATTTAATATCAGCTACTAAAAGCGAAGCTTTCTTTTTTGGTGTTTGTTCAATTTTTTGTAAAATTTCTTTTCTTCTTTCTTTTGCCAATTTTTTTGAATAATTTGGGGAATGATTGTGCCCAGAATTTCCTAAAATTCCTTCAATAAATTTTGACGATTCTTTCCAATTTTCCATTGAAATTTTACATGAGGCTGGACATTTTCTTTGTTCACAACGAAAATTAATTACATTAGTTCCTCTATTACGAGTAAAACAATAACCTTTTTTTGTTAGAAAATATTAAACTTTAATCTAATTTTGAGAAAATTTTTTTAAGATTTTTTAATATTGACGTCCAAATTGATGGCTCTCCCATTGTCAGTAAAGAAAATATTTTAGTAGAATATCCAATAGGTTTGTTTAAACGAAGAATAATGAATCAGGATATACAAGGATTTCCCAGGGACCCACTAAGACAAGTTCAACCCCGATTTTAAACCCATACACGATTTCAGGCTTCTAAGTAAATTTGTCTTCTGCCAACTGAAATCTACCAAACTATTATAGTATTCTACCTAATTTCCAAAACTATTTTTAAAATTAAAAAAAAACCTTCATGCCAAAGACACAAATTTCCTCTATTTGTTTTTCCAGTTTCAAACAGAACAACATCTTGTAATACTTCTCCACCTCCCTCAACATCAATTTCCACATTTTGTTCATTTAAATAAGATTGTTCTTCGTTAAAATTTCTTTTTTGACCTGCCGAATTTTTTTGTTGATTTGCAATCATTTTCTCTAAAAATAAAAAAAAATTTTTGCGAATCATAAAAATAACCAAAAAAATAAATTGTTTGAATAACTAAAATTAAAAATTAATTTAAAAATAATTTTTATTTATTTTGGAATAATTTAAAAATGCAGCTACAAATTAAAAATATTATTGTAAAAAGAGAATCGAAATAAAATTTAAGTAATATACACAAAAGTGAATAGATTTTTAAAAAAATATGGCAAGAATTTTTACAAATTTAATTTTAGAAAATAGCTGGGAGCTATTTAAATTATGGGAATAATTTAAATTATTTTTCAAAAAATTAGGGAGGCACAAAAATAATAATAGAGAAGAGCAAATGTGAAATTAATTTAGAATGATTAAGATGGATAGGGGTTTTTAAATATATTGACTAAATTTGCTTGAGCCTTTGGATAAACAGGGAAAAATATAAAAATCCGAAATGTCCGCCGAAACTTCCGAGTGGAGCACTTTTCCGAAAAATATTGAAGCTAAACTTTTTAGTGCCACAAATCTTCCGAACCCAAACCTAAAGGCTTAGGAAAATTAAAACAAAAATTTTTTTGACATTCCATATCCATCTTAATTCATTCTCGAATGTATTGCTAAATTATACAAAAGTATTAAAAAAATACTGGGTAACTGACTAAATAAATATTTAATTATTACATAAATATTAACCTTAAAAATCGTTGTAAACCTTGAAATTTAAAATTCAAAGTTTCAAAAATTTTTTTAATTTATAAAAGAATCACTTTAGTTTTTTTAATTAATTTTTTATTGTTTGTTTTTTATTGGCATTGGTTCCATCATTTTCACGTTTGTGACAATGTAAAAGAGCCGAACGTATTAAAGCAAAAGGAAAACACTAAAGAATATTTTTTTTTTAAATTAATACAAAATTAAAATGTCAACCTTTTCCATTAAGCCATAATTTAGCCATGGAGAGCTTCTTGCCAATTGATCTAATAATAAATATACAGACGATTGAAATTGTTGTCGTTGCCCTCCTTTAATTTTATCCGAAGATGTAGAATTAATATTAATATTTCCGTTGACGTTTTGAAGTAGACTGCTAGATGCTAACTGAAAAACAATTCGAATTTTAATTTTTTAATTCAATTAAAAATTTTTTTAACTTAAAATAAATTTATTTTGTATAAGAGTTGGGTAAATGCACTGAATTATCAATTATTTATTTCAATGCGACCATTACTCTTAACAATGTTTTTGGCGATTTTCGGCCCATTCAAGACTCGTTTACGCCTTGACTGGTTCCTACACGCCGTAAAGAAAACATTTTCTACCAAAACAACCCTCGCCAAAACAACACCATTCCCTTTACTAAACAAGAACAAAACCACTTAACCACAACGCGAACTATCACAACAGTTTATTTTTTATAACAAAAGCTAAGGGGTTAATAACAAAAGTTGTTATAACAAAAGCTATAACAAAAGCTAACTAACTAGGGATGGCCCCGAATTTTTACAAGCGAAAAACTGAAGAAATTTGGAAATAAAAAATGGAAAAGGAGAGGTCAAAAAAGACGGAAGTAGGCTAAAGAGACCAAATCCCTACTCGATCCTTATTTTTAAAATTATTCAAAAATAAAAATAATAATTTAAAAAATACCGCAAGAAATTCATGCATTCTTTCAGCAGTATCTCCACGTTGATGTAGAAAAAATAATGCTCCAGTAATAGTATTTACAGCAAGAGGGATTGTGTGAGAATTATTTTTGGTAACTAAAAATAATTTTTTAATTTTTTTAGACTCAAAAAATTATACCGGAGAGTGACGCTTTATAACAAGATTGGGGATTGAGTGCCAAATGAGGCAAAGAAATGGCAATAAAAACAATAAGTAGACAGGAAATTTTGTAATGCTAAAAAAGAACCTTTAAAATATTCAAAAAAATATCAACAAACTTCATTCGGATCATCCAACCCATTTGTATTAGCCTGTTGTTTAATAGCATTTGCCAAAGCTAAATCAACATCTAATTTAAATCCAGAAGCAGCACAAGCTTCTCCAATATTCTAAAATTTAATTTAAAAAATTTTTCTTCAAAAATAATTTCTTTTTACAATTTTTTGTAGTTCATCCAAAGGAGAATTAATTAAAGAAGATAATGAATTAATTAAAAAAGGCGCTCTTTGTTTTAAAACATCATTTAATGCTGAAAATAACATATCTCGAAAAGCACAAATTTCACCAATTATCTGTGAAAAAAAAATAAAATTTAAAGAAAAGAATTTTTTAAAATAATTACAATAACTCTTTGCAACATTGAATCTAATGGAGAAATGCCATGAGTTGTGTTGGTGCTACGTTTTTCATTTTTGTGACCGCTTCCACTAGGCGAGTCTAATGAAGTACTTAAGGAAGTAACAATCTAAAAAAGAATGTTTTTATTGTAGAGAGAGAGAGGTTGTTTAGAATGGGAAATGAAAAAAAACACAGAGGGTATAATAAGAGATGTGCCGGTCATTTTCGCCGAATTTTCACCTTTTTGGTATTTTTTTCGTCTTTCGCTTGTTAATTTATCTTTTGCCTAAAAAGCAAAAGTCGCCTAAAAATGCAAAAGACAAAAACACCAAAAAAGGCGAAAGTGACTGCCACCTTCTGCTACAATAAAAAGTAACACTTCTCTAAATAATTTAATAAAGGATTTAAAATTAAAAAACCTCACTTCTTTAAGTTTTTCAGGTTTATCATAATTAACACGAGCAATATGTAATTGTTCATTATGTTCTCTCACAATTTTGAAAAGTTCGGTAATTTGACTTGCGATATGCCAAACAAGTTTTTCTTCCATAAATTTAATTCCAAATGGGCCAATAATTTGTGATAGAGAACGAAGTTCTAAAAAATTAAAAAAATATTTTTTTGAGTAAATTTTTACAGAATTAAACCTCTAGGATCAGTAAATCTTTCCGCTCGAAATAGTTGAGTAGACGAATTATTGTTGTTAACTGGTGTGTCCAAACTTGGATTATTAACAAACGATTGCATATGTTCAGAGTAGAGAAGATGGCAAGTACTCGCTTTTCGAAGTAAAACCTCCAAATACCTTTTTAGATAAAAATTAGGTTAAAAAAGGATTTTAAAATTTAAATTATTTATAAAATTTAATTTAAAAAAATAAAAAAAAAATATTTTAAAAAATACCATTTTGAATAAATTTCAGCAAGTGTTTCATTCCCTTGGGCATCCTCTCTTTGTGACTGTTGCAAAAGTGTATCATTAAAGAGACGAGTTAAGTCAAAATTGTCTAGAAAAAATAATTTGAAAATTAATACAAAACACGAGGTTGGAAATTCTTAAAAAGTCTTTGGGTTCCCTACCCGCAGCCCAATTCTAAAAAATAATTTAACTGATTTAGTCAGAATTATTTTAAAAAACAAACAAAAAATATCCAAATGTTGTAAAGCATTCAATTGAGCACTTAAAAATGCCAACATTTCAGAAGGTCTTCTAGGACATTCTAATGGTTGTTGCTGTTGTTCATTGTTTAAATGTATATAACGCAAAAGAGAAGTATTCAAATATTTTTCTAATTGATGAAAAAGAAATTCACGAGGAACAAAAATATGCCCAGAAATATTTAATTCTTTTGTTGTTGTTAAGGATTGACAAAGTTCTCCAAGATATAAATTGTTTGAATCATTTGAGGATATTGGTTGACCAGATTGGCGAATACTTTCAAAACCAGGCATTTTCATTTCATTTTTTCCTAAAAATTTAGAAAATTAATATTTCAAATCCCCTCTAGGAAACCTTGAAATTCTAAAGCAAACATATTTGCACAAGCTCTAGGTTCCGTGCTAAGAACTAGCTGTTGTCCATCAGCACATACTTTTGAAAATATATCGACTGTTTTACGAGAAATTTCTTCCAAGACAATATTACAAGAAGTGAGTCATAAAAATTAAAAAATATTTTTTTAATTAATTTAAAAATCAAAACCTTTTTCAATAATTGTATCATTCTCTTCAGGACATAATTCATGTAATGGACTATTAAAATGAGCACAAATGTGAGCAAATGTAATAGAAAAACGTGATTGGAGAGGAAAATCCAAACAATTTCGTAAATGTAAATCGAAAATACGAGGGTAAAAACTAAAGATTTAATGATTAAATTAAATTTTTTTGATTTGGGGATTTTGTTAATAACTAGAATTGAAAATCTGAAATCCAGTAACAGGAAAGGGTTCAGAAGCAGGAACATGACGGGATCTCGCTGGGATTAATTTTGTAAATCTTAAACATGGTAATCTCGTTTGTTGTTTAAAACCGGTCACTCGCAAAATTCCAAACAGGATCCCGCAAAGGCTGGAGCTTAGGAACGCTCCGCACTCTATTAATAATAGGGTTCAACAGCCTTCCGGGGAAGAGAATTCCCCAAAGAACGGGAGGACTAATCTTTTTCAAGATTCCCCGTGGGGTCCTCGCCTCGTAAAATTGAACCCAATTTAATAACGAACAAATCAAGTATATATTTCATAATTTAAAAATTTACCAATAAATACTTAAATCACTAGTTTCTCTTAATAATTCGTCTAAACCATTCCCAATATGCTTTAGATGAAAAAGTGCTGTATTCATTGCAACAGCAAAATTGGCATGAACTTGAAGTTTAAAAGTTGAACGTCCAATACTTGTTAATGCTTGAAAACGAAACCAATCTAAATGAACTCCACGAGAGTCTATTCCATCTTAAATAAATAAATTTATATTTTGAAAAAGAAGATATTGAGAATAATTGATAAAGTTTGAAACTCTAAACAGATAAGAATGCCTGAAGAGTTCCTAAAGTCCTCAAACGATTAATTTCAAGACACATTTATTTTTTTAATAAAGTTTCTATTTTGTATCAAAAACTCGAAGGTTCCGAAACTACGAGGGTTTAGAAATTTAGAAGCACAATATGAAGAGAGGTTAACAAAATTATAGAAATGGAGCACAGCCATCTTAATTAACTTTATTTAGAATTGATCCCAAAAAAATGTAAAAATATGTATTAGTTTTCACCGGAACCGAAATTTTGACCGGAATCGGATCCAATTTGAGTTCCGGTTACCGGAACCAAAAAAAACCGGAACTTCCGATGAAACTCTAAAAAATAAACTAACAAAAAATAACAAACCAGAAATATTAGCCAATGCCTGAATACAAGAATGAATTAACAATTGTTCATATTCTGATAATCCACTTCCTCCACTAAAGCGCTGAGAAAGTTCTGTAAGTAAAGGAGCATCATAACCAGCAATATATTGAATATAATAACTAGATATTAAATCAGAATTTTTTAAAACTAAATTTCGAATTTCTGTCAGATAATAAAGCAGTTCTGGAAGAAATCTGAAAAAAATTAAAAATGAAGTAGTATAGCATAAATCAAAACTATAAGAAATTTTACTTTAGATAAAAAAAGCACGGTTTAACTACTATTGAGCTTTGTTCGTGGGCTGGTATGCGGGGTTTTCTATCTTTTCAGAGTAGGAATATCAAGTTTTATTCGACAATTGTAACAAAAAAATCCCGAAAAAAAGATTTTTTTATTAATAAAAAAAAGCTTATAAAAAATTGGAAACATAGAGTTGTGTTGTGAAACAACCCTAAATTCAGATAAAACCCAAATTTTTAGCAGTTCTCGTTAAATATTAAATTTAGCTTATTCTTACTTGTCCACAACGATATTTTGAAGACCACTTTTTTGAATTGCTTTTTTATTCGCAGGAGAATATTGTAATAATAACTGTTGCCAAACATCATAATGTCTAAGTAACCATTGTATTTCGTCTCTAGCCATAGACAAACCCATCCAAACAAAAAGTATTTTTGGTCCAAGAAGTCCAGGTTCATCTACCAACAATAAATACAATTCTTTTAATGCCATACGTAAAAAATGCCTTCGATGAGCATGTAAATGGCCACTAAAAAGTTTAAAAAATTATTTTCTAATTAATTTACCAAGTCTGAATCGCCAAAATATTAATTTCTTTCAATTCATTCAAAAGTTTATTTTGGTTTTTTAAAGGCTCCAAAACAGTTGAAATCATTGAAAATGTGAAAATAGTTTCATCTCTAAATAACCGAACAGCCAAGGAGTGTTGCATTGCTTTTTGAAAAAGTTGGAGAAGTGAAGGATCAGAAAGGAGACGAGGACAAAGAGAAACTCCGACTAAAAAATATTTTAAATTAATTAAAAAATTATTTTTATGGGTACAGCCCAAAACAGTGCGCGGTCATAACGGCGCAAAGTATAACTTAACGAAAAATTTTCGGCCCTTATCAATTTTGGTACTAACTCTTTAGCTCGATGAGAGGAATCGTTTAATGGTAAATTAGTAATATTAGGAAATTGTGACGCAAGTTATGGCTTTGCGCCTTTAAGGCCGCGCGCCCTTTTGGGCGTGTCCCATTTTTTTCTATCACTAACAAATAATCCAACGATCCATTGTGTCAAGTGACATATACTCACAAGCAATCTAAATTTAAAATAATTTTAATTAAAAAAATAATTTTCTTTAACAGTATTAGTTTGTGCAGCATACAACATATGTCGAGGATTTGCAGTAAGCGAAATCATAGCAGAATCCCGTTGTTGTTCAGCAGAGATATTTCTTCTAAAGTAGGTTTCTTTTAATGATTCGAGGGCAGAACTGATTACCTTAAAAAATATTCTTTTTTTAGAAATTTTTTAATTAAAAAAAGTTGTTTTTAAGAAATAAATTTTAGAAAATCCTAAAATTTCAAAAAAAATTTTTTTTGAAATTTCTGATTTTCTAAAAATTTTTTTAAAAAATAATTCAAAAAAAATTCCAAACTCTATAAGAAAGTCCCAAATCTTCAGAAAGTTTCTTAAAAGGTTGTTCATAATCCATAATCATTTGGCCAAGCCTTGGAAAGGATGTTTCACTTCCAGTATGTAATATATCATAGGCAGCTGCATAAAGGCCTAAGACAGTTTTTCTGTCCTCAACACGTGAAAGAAGAATCATCAAAGAACAAAAATTGACTACCAAATTTAAAAAGCTTGTTGTCAAGTCGAGATTTTGATTCTATAAATAAAATAAAAATTTATTTTTAATTTTCCACAAATAGACTAACAATAAACATAAACGTCTCGCATAAAATAACACGATATTTTTAGACCCCCCAATGTCCCGCTTAGCCCGCCTTAATAGGTTGTTCTGGTTTCAATAAATTTTTCTGAATTCCTCAAGGATAAGATTTTCGGTTTGGATCAGAGGAGATTTTTGGTTTCGGAGATCCGACGATTTGCTAAGGCCTGACTACTCTACTTGTGTCAGGAATGCCCAATTTTCAATTTTTCTCGCAGGGTGCAGCAAGTAAAAAAATTTAAGATATTTTTCTAAGGAAATCCCCCTTGACATTTTCTTCAAAAAATAATTTTAAAAATAAACTAACAATATTTAATCGGCATTGATTAGCATCCATAGCAGTAAAAAGCTGCAAAATAGCATCCTTCAAATCCAACAAATCCACAAATGTGTAATAATACAAAGACAATTTTTTGATAATATTCCCCTTCATATCGTTAATGGATGAATAAACTGTCTAGAAAAGTAATTTTGAATAAAAAAATTTATTTTAAACTCACAGAATTTCGTTTAATATCAATCACAGGAAATCGTTTAACAATATAAGAAATAGCCGATTCAAGTGTTTTGTCGTTAAGAAATTGTGGCTGCGATTTTGGGTCAGCACAGGCTTTCTTCTGTTAAATAAAGAAATTTTTTTTCTAATTTTTAAAATTGATTTTAAAAAATAAAAAATACTAACTTAAGAACAAAAATAAGATTAGGTAATCCCGGAGAATTGGAGTTTCTTTGAAAAAAAATTTAAGAATATGAAAACGGATTTTTCTAGTTAAATGTACGATTCGGGATTAGACTTTTTGAAAAGCTGAGCTCATTGTCAAATTCGTAATCAGCATATTTTTTACCGTAAAAATCCTTTCTCTCAATTAAAAAAATTTTTTTTCTGAAGAAACCCAAGTCTCCGGGATTGCCTAAGATTAGATTAATTCAAGAAAAATTTTAATTAAAATAATTTTTTTGCAAACCATATTATAAATTCTAGTCAACATTCCAACAGCTCGATCATTGAGAATTACAAGTTTCTCGGCAAATTTGAGTTGTGATGAATCTGCAACAGTTTTGTAGCTCATCTTGTTGTTATTTTTACCTGCAAATTTTTGTGTATAAAATTGTAAAAATTGCCTAAATTAAAAATTTTTAGTTATAAATTGAAGGAGAATGGTCAAATCGAGAAAATGATTCACACAATTCAAAAAATAATTTTGGCATTATGTTTTTTAATTAATTGAGAGATGTGGTGAATTTGAGAGAACAAAAGTAATTTATCGGTGTCCGATCAAAAGATAGTTGTTCTAAAAGATAGATACGGCTAATATCGATTAAAAGATAGACGCGGCCAGAGACGTGGTGCATCTATCTTTTAACGTGTCCGGACAAAATATCGAATCGTTAAAATATGGAATAGGCTAAAAAAGGGTTAAAATCTCGAATCGGGTAAAAATGGGTTAAAATCGCGAATAGGCTAAAAAGGGGTTAAAATGTGGAATCGTTAAAATATGGAATGGTAAAAATATCGAATCGGCTAAAAAAGGGTTAAAATATGGAATCGTTAAAATATCGAATTGATAAAATGTCGACACGGCCAAAATAGGTCAAAATGTCGAATTTTTTTAAAGATGCGCCAAAACCTTGAATCCGGGCGTTACCGTAATACCGACGGTATTTTTCGGTATTCCGTGTCGGTTGTACGGTACGGAATGCCGACCGATAAAATTTAAAAGCTGACCGTTATTTTTCGGTATTCCATACCGTATACGGTAAGGTCAAACTTTAGGTCTTAACTAAAAACTAATGCATACCACTCTAATTTTTCCATATCAGGATCGCGTTATGTTTTCCGGATCCGTACGATCATGCCGGACCGGATCCGGTCGATTATGCTTGATTTATCCGGTCCGGTTTTACTCGGTAAAGTACAGTGAACTCAGACAGAAAAGATTACGACGGACTACGACTTACCAAACTTATCAATCAACTTATCATCAATAAACTGATGTTGATAAAATTATCAACAATCAACGTATGGCACAAATCTGACCCGTTTTTAAAAGAATTCGACATTTTGACCCATTTTGGCCGTGTCGACATTTTTACCATTCCATATTTTTACGATTCCATATTTTAACCCTTTTTTACCCGATTCGATATTTTAACGATTCCATATTTTAACGATTCGGTATTTTAACCCCTTTTTAGCCTATTCGCGATTTTAACCATTCCATATTTTAACGATTCCATATTTTGTACCGGAGCCATCTTTTAATAGTTTTTTGCCGTATCTATCTTTTGTTGCATCTATCTTTTGTCTAGGAGCCAATTTATCGGCTTCATTTGGATTTTCTTCGATTTATTTTATTTTCTAGTTTTTTTTTTGTTTTTTTATCCGACTTTCTAATTAGTTTGGGGGTTTTGAGTTGATAAATATTGTATGCAAATTTAGTTCATTTAGGCATCATTTTCATTGGTTTTCTTCTAACAACTGCCTTATTTCTTTACTTTATTGGTTACCATCAATTTGTTCAATAAATGGGCTGTACTCATAGTGCTAACGACAAACAAGCGAAGGATAGAAGCAGGCAAATTGACGAACAGGTTTGGGATTTTGTAGCTCATGTTCTGTGATATAAGTTGGGGACTTATTCGAGGGAATGAAAATCTAACCTTTATCTCATTTGATAAAATTTCAGTTGAAAACGGACCATGAACGTTCACAAAGGGAGGTTAAACTCTTACTTCTGGGCGCTGGTGAATCTGGGAAAAGTACAATTGTAAAACAAATGAAGATTATTCACGAGACGGGATATAGTGACGATGAACGCATTGCCTATCGGCCTGTGGTATGATTTTATTCGATTAAGAATTCCTTTGGACGAGTTTAACTTAATTTTCTTATAGGTTTATTCGAACACTATCCAGTCTTTGGTTGCAATTGTAAAGGCAATGGGCCGTTTAGGAATTGAATTTGCCAACCCCTCTCGGAAGGCCGACGTTGAATCGTTTTATCATTTGGCAGAGACTTCAGAGGATGGTTTGTTATATTTTAAAAAGACAAAGATGTTAAATTGCAATTAAATTTAGGAGGACTGCCGCCCGACTTAGCAGCTGTAATGAAACGTTTATGGGAAGATGTTTCTGTCCAGGAATGTTTTGCACGTTCCCGTGAATACCAGCTCAATGACTCTGCCTCTTATTACTTGAATTCTTTGGACAGGATTGCAGCTCATGGATATTTGCCTACACAAGATGACGTTTTAAGAACACGCGTGAAAACAACTGGAATTGTTGAAACGCATTTCACTTACAAGGACCTTTACTTCAAGTTTGATATTTTTTCTATTTGTGATAAGTAAGTTTTTTTGAGTCCCTTATTTTAGAGGTATCTTTTAGAGATCGAGCTTGACCAAGGCCTGGGCTTTTCCTATACCCAGAGTCCAGGCCCAGGCATTTTTTGACCTTCCTGGGGTTTTCCTGGGTTTGGGTTTTTCTTGAACTACAAGCTCGAGATCCGGCTCAGGTCAATAAATCAAACCTAAAGTCCAGGAACAGGTCCAGACTTATCAAAAATTTCGATCTCTAGTATGTTCCATAAAGTCTTACGAAGAAAAAAGCCAAGCTAGGGATATTTCCGCTTTGGAGATTTTTCTATTTTTTTTAATTAGAATGTTTGATGTCGGCGGGCAACGTAGTGAAAGGAAAAAGTGGATTCATTGCTTTGAAGGAGTCACCGCGATTATTTTCTGTGTGGCATTGTCTGAATATGACATGGCTTTGGCAGAAGATGAAGAAATGGTTTTTTTAAAATATTTTTAATAATTACTAATATTATAAATATTTTGTAGAATCGAATGATTGAGAGTATGAAGCTTTTTGACTCCATTTGCAACAATAAATGGTTTTTGAATACGTCTATAATTCTTTTCCTAAACAAGGTTTTTAAAAATGAATAAATATGTAAAAAAATTTAATTATTTTTAGAAAGATCTTTTTGAGGAAAAAATTAGTCGGTCACCATTGACTTTGTGTTTTGCTGAGTATACAGGTTAGATTATAATTTTACGTTAGATTTCAAACAAAATTTTTCGTTTTCGATATCTCAAAAAGATTTTGCTTTAGCTAAAATTTGAAAAAAAATTTTTCAGGCTCAAATACTTATGAAGAATCAGCCGCCTATATTCAATTGCAATTCGAGTCGTTAAATAAACGAAAGGATGGCCAAAAGGAAATTTACACTCATTTCACTTGTGCCACAGATACGAATAATATTCGGTATGTTTTTTATAATATTTTTAAGCTTAGTTTTCTAATTTCCGTTTCTGCTTTTATTTTTGCTTTCGTTTATTTTTTCTTATTTATTTCAAGTTTTCTAAAAATAAGTTTTTTTTTTGAATGGGTACCGTTAATTAATTTCCGTTTCTGAATTTATACTAACAAGATCTAACCTGATATTTTCTCATTTAATTCTAAATCTCCAAATTCAATATCTTTCCCTTACATTGAAAGGAGGAAATATATATTAGATTTTTTTGACTTTATCTTTGTTTGTTTTTGAGGTTTGTTTTTGATGCCTGTACTGATATTGTAGTGAGAGAGAATTTACGGCAATGCGGTCTTCTCATCTAACAATAAATAAAAAATTTCTTTAACAACTATTAAATACGCACATAAACACACTAACACACACAAACATTCGTTTATATTTTTTGCTCGTCCTTATGTTTTTGACACAATCCAATTTTTCGTATGCTTTGCTTTTTTGATCAGTTAAAAATTGAAAAAGGGTCCTTTGAAAAATTATAATATTAAAATTAACAACGGAAATGTTTTCTTTAACAGCCTTTATTCAAATCTCTTTTGTGCTGTTTGTGTGTTTTATGTTGCGCTCGCATTTCCGTTGTTTGGTTTTTGGAATTATTTTTATACTCACTTCTCTCCAACTTTACGATTAATTTTATTTTGGTCTTGTTTTAGAATTTGAACATAATTTTATTCTGATCAAAAAAATTTGCCCCTTCCCCTCCTTTGGCAATTTTTTTAAAATTATTAGATACAATTTAATTTTATTTTTTAAGGTTCGTATTTGATGCCGTTACAGACATTATTGTTAAAGAAAATCTTCGGTTGATTGGATTGCTTTAAGACAAAAATGTATGGATAAATTTAACTTTTTTTAATTTAAAAAATATATAACAAAAAATGTTCTTTTGTTTCAAGCATTCTTTTGTTTAAAATAAAATATATTTTTAAAAAAATTTTAACGAATTTAAAAAGAATGCTTTTATGACCTCAATTTAAAAAAATGCATCTCTCTCTTCGGTAAACCATTTTTTGGTTAAGTTGTTTTGATTATATTTGTATAATCACATAAATATAGATAGTTTTTATTTTCAAAAATTACGCATTTAAAAAAGTTTATTTTTATCTTTCTGAAAGAACCTTAAAAATTCTTTTGTTTACAAGAATGTCTAAAAATTTAAAAATTAAATGAAATCTTTTTGCTAAAAAGTTGAATAGGGTGATCTATTTTTCGTAAACCCTACACTTTAATTTAACTAAAATTTTGTTAACTATTGGGTGGGGAAGCTAACAATAAGCGAATACGCTTCGTCCCAAGTTTTTATGTAACTTTGAGATCCGGTTATATAAAATTTAAAGAGACATTCTTGCTTTCTCAATTAAAATCGATTAAAATACCTATGTAAATTCGTCAGTCTCAACTGATGAGATTTTTAAATTAGCTTATTTCAATAAATTTTATTGTAATTGGTATTTTAACCAAAAAATCAAGTTAAAACAGTACTGTCAAAAATATTTTATGAAAAATTGTTTTTTTTTGTTTTCGTTTTTCTAAGATTTTAAAGAAATTGGGAAAGGCCCAGAGACCTTGGGAAAGGCCCATTTGTACTGTTCTTGTCTTGCTTGCTCTCTTTAAATTATATAATTTTTCAGAATTTTTTGCCTATTTCTCCGTTTATATTTACGCTGCTGGTTAATAAGTCGCCTATAAAAATCAGCTTTTTAGATCCTTCAGACATTATAAGATTTTTATTTTTACCTATACAAAGTATTCTCGCATTTCTTTTGTTTTTTTGTTGGGTTTTATGCAAAAATCAATGCTTTTTTAATGTTTTTTATCTTTCATACTTATATAATTTTTGAATAAAATTATGTTTATATAATTGGACAAATCTACTTTTTCCCTAGAATTTTATTGAAAAAATATTTTTGGAAATATTTATAGTCAAAGGAAATTTTTATTGACAAACTTGAAAAAATTTTTTGAAAAAAATACTTGGAGTTTTGTCTAGACAAGAAGTATGTAATTTTTTGAGGTTCTAGAAAATAAGTTTGATAAAGCGAAGAAAATTTTAGTTTTTTTAATTCCTAAATACAAAATTCCAATAGTGAATTTTTCCTCCTCAAATAAATAAATATAAAATTCAGAATTCGAAAAAAAGTCAAAACCAAAAGAATTTAAATCTTAACATGAATACAAGATGTCATTACAGGACTTTTTTCGAAAAGATTTGACTTTAAAATATTTTAAGAGTTAAAAAAATATCCATATCCACACAAGAATCCACCAGAATAATTAATTATTTCCCAAAGGTTGTGGTCGCCACTAAAAATTTTTTAAAATTATTCGATTTAATATTTCAATTATAAACATTTTTTGATAAAAACATTTTTAAAATATTTTTCTTCAATTTTCGAAAGATTAAGTTTTTTTAAAGTTTTTTTTATCATTTTAAAATTATTTGGACAAAATTATTTGTGATTTTATTAAATTTAAAAATTTTACCAAGACAATATGCATTGTACCATCAGAACAATGAACCTATAAATAATTTTAAAAATATTTAGAAAATTTAAACTTCATTGGTCCCGAAAATTTCATTTTAAATTTTAAAAATACTATTTCTGTCTTCTATTTTTATCTAATTAGAATCCCTAACCCTAACAAAAAAATCGAATTTTTCACCCAAAATAGTGATTACTCCCCCCTATGGTTTTCGATTTTCAAGGACTTATATTTCTGTACACAGGCATTTCCGCACCTGGAGAGAGTGGTACCGTTCGACTCAGCCAAGATTCAAAAATTATCGCACAGCGCCTTAAATTTAAAACTAGTTGTCCTGTAAAATTATAGATGTTCGAATACTAGTTTAGGAGCTCAAACAAGAGAAAAATAGCGGGACGTCTTATAATACCAAAAGCTTGAAATACCAAGCACCCAAAAATCCTTGAAATATCAAAGTAATATCAAAAAATAAAATTACAGTAAAATAATATCCTCCTCCTTCAGCCTTTTTAGGTTCCCGTCTCGCAGCTGGTTTCATCCCCCTTTCCAAATTTCGTCGAGTTCTTTCCACAACTTCAATTTTATCCAAAGCCCGATAATGTTGAACAACTTCAGGTATCTGCATATTTAGAACATCAGCACCAACATTCGCAAAACAGTTAAAGATTTGCAAGTATCCAGAACTAACCTAAAATAAATACTTTAATTATCATATTTTCCAATTTTAATAAATAAATTTTTTTACTTTTTATAATATTCCTAAAATAAGCATGTTAGCAATAAAAATCAAAATATTTTATAAGAATGATATAAAAGAAATTTTAAAATTAATTTCGCATACAAATTGAACTTGTGATTCAGTAAACTTTTTAATTTCATCAAAGAATTGGGACAATGTTAAATTTCCATAAACATCAAGATCTTCGCTTGGAGGTGGTGGAGGAGGAAGCATTTTAGATATTTTAAAGATTAATAAAAATTTAATAAAATCAGCTTTTATTAACTGAAAAGAGAATCTTTTAGATAATACTTGAGATAAAAGATAACTGGAATATTAGGAATTAAAGTTTCAGTAATTGGTGATAAGGTATAATAAATAAAATGACTTTTTCATCAAAAATTTATTTAAGTATAAAAGATTTTTTTAGAAAATATTTCTTGAAAGTTGTAACGTTTTATAAGCTCTAGATTGCTGATAGTATTCATGAATATCTCGTAAAAAAATTCAAATTTGTGTGAATTAGTAAAAATTTTATGCGCACATAAATAAAAGAATATGCTACATTTTTTCTCAAAGAACAATCAATAAAATAATTGTAAAGGAATAAATAGTCAAAATAAGTGTAGTAGAGGAGAGAAAAATAAAATAAAGTCTCTAAAAAGCCTCAGATTTTAATTTTCTAAAGTATTCATGAAACTGTAAAAATCATTTTTGATAAAAATTATTATTTAAAGTTACATGATTTTTATTATTGGAAAATATAAATAAAATTAAAAATAGGAAAGAATTAATTGGAAAAATAATAAATTTCTTAGAATTTTATAAAAATCAGCTTAAAAATATTATTTTTTGTCTTAATTTTAGAATATTGTATATGCTTTTATAATTCATTTTGATTTTCATTAATAAATTTCTTCCAATTTTTTCTTCCAAATTTTTTAATACTTTAGAATTTTATTTAAAATTACAACGTCAATATAAGCATGAAATTCTGTTGAAAGAACATTGACAAAGTCAGAAAGAATCAGTTGTCGCTCAACTGCAAACTCAGTTGGAGTATTTGAAGCGAAGAGTCTGAAGAAGAGTGTTGAAGATCCGTATCACTAATAGATAAAAATATATATACCTAAATAACAATCAAAAAATTATTTTTAATTTTTACTAAAAGAATATTTAAAATTTTAAAAGGAACAAAATAAAAATACTAGAATTTTCGTTAAATTAATATTTAATATCTAAAATTGTTATTTTTTGTGGTGGGGTAGTAAAATGAGGCTAAAATAAAGTAACTAAATAAAGTATGTAGCTAATTTTATTTCTTAACATAGCTTTAATTTCTTAAACCTACCTGAGTTAAAAAGTCCATTAGAGGAAGTCAAATAAGAATTATTTGCGTCAATAAATAAAATTTGATAAATTAAGATAAATTTCAAGAAAAATTAATGATAGAGGATATAAATTGGAATTTTAAAATATTGTTGAAAGAAATGTTGATGTTGACTCAGGTAAAATTATGCAAGAATGTTGTAAAAAATTAAAATTGTTTACAAATAAATAAATAAATTTTTATAATAAATTAGATCTGCTTTTAGTCTGCTTTTAGTCTGTTTTTCTCAAAATCTTGCTCAACTGGACCGCACAAAGCTGGGTAACGTGGACATCTTTTTGGAATAGATAATGAATAAATAAATAGTTAAAATTTCAATACCCATTATCAATAATAGTGAAGGGAACAGCTTCTCCTTCCCCACCAACTCTGATTGCTGTACATTCAGCCAACATCTTTAGAAAAATTTTGTTTTTCAGAAATTTTCAAAAAAATTTTCTTTTCACCATATTATGTGGTCCAGCTTGTTCACTACTAACCACCATAAATAATGGATCTCCAATTGAAGCTTGTTGTAATGGTTGTCCGTCAGCGTCCAAAAATGAAAGTGTTGCCGTAATTGGAGGGGGAGTGCCGGCATCGAGAATTTGTGGTTCTACTTCTCTTTAAATAATTTTTATTTTTCTTTCACTAAAAGATATCTCACTCTGAGAGGACTCGAAAAATCGTAGCTTATAATGGTGACGAATTAAAATTGGGGGTACCGGTTGGAAGTGCCCCCCTCCCAACCAGCGGTAAATTTTAAGGACTTATATTTAGGTGTATCAAGTATAGGCTAGAGCTGTTTCTTGGTCTTGAGTCTTGGGAAACTTTCGGTCTTGGACAGCTCTAGTATAGACTATATTATAGTGAGATTCGATTTGTTCAAATTTCTAAATAAATTTTTTCTTACTTAGTTTCAAATATAGTAGTAACCAAAACAGTCCCTTCAATTCCCTGTTCTCGCTTTTCCAACATTTTCTCCAAATTCATACTAACATCACAGGATACTCGATAGAAACGATCCCATTCTGTAGTGACTTGATGTGGAAGAACTCCGTCTAAAGAAACAACAACTAAAGCTTCCAATTTTCCGTCCTGTTTTTGAAAATTAAATTGGAAAATATTTTCTTTAAAATTTTCTACTACTTTAATTGTAGTTCCACAATTGGGTGAAATATTTTGAGGTGGGAAAGTAATAGATATTTGTTTAGCATTTTCTACTACTTGAGAGCATGTACTGAATTTTTCTGCTGCGTAAATAGCCCCAGTATATGGTTTTTTTGTATTTACTATGAATCTAATTCCTTCATTTGTGCAAAGTGACATTCCTCCTAATTTGGATTCTAAAAATGCTTTTTTAATGTTTTTCATCTTTCATACTTATATAATTTTTAAATAAATTATGTTTACCGTAAATATCCTAATAGAAGCCCAGTCCTAATAGAAGCCCACCCGACGGGGGGTATTGAAAAATATAAGCCCAGGGCTTATATTAGGATATTTACGGTATATAATTGGACAAATATACTTTTTCCCTAGAATTTTGTTAAAAAATATTTTTTTTAATATTTATTGTCAAAGGAAATTTTTATTGGCAAAACTTGAAAAAATTCTATAAAAAATCACTTTTTGGAATTTCTTATGAATAAAATGTAAATTTTTTTGAGTTTTTAGAAAATCTATGTTTGATAAAGCAAATTTATTTTAGTTGTTTTAATTCCAAAATACAAAATTCCAATAGTGATTTTTTATCTGACTCAAACAAATATATACAAAAGTTTGAGAAAAAGTCAACAACAAATGTATTTAAATCTTAACAAGTGAATGGAAAACAAATTGTGTAAAAACACTTTGACAATTTTGTATTTATTCTAAATAACCACCCACATCATCTCCTGCATCCTCATAAACGTACTCGTTGTAATAGCATTCAGCAATCTTATAAACTGACTTAGCCAACACTAAATAATAAAATCTGGATTTTTAAAATTTTCTTCATTTTTAAAAACTTTTCAAGGCAACAATAATGTCAGATACTTCCTCCAAATTGAAATTAGGAATAATTTCTTCTACTAAAAACTTGAAAAAGTCCAAAATTATCCCCTGACCATCATTGAAGTATTCGTTTACCTAAAATATTTTTTATAAAATTGTCATTAAATATTTTTTATAATTTAAGAAAATATTTTTTAATTAAAAAATTGACTTGTTTTTCCCAAGCATTCCAACTAATCAATTCATCTGAAGCATCTTCTTCTCGAGCCCTATCAGGCCATCTATAGGAAGCGATTTTCTTAAATAAAATTTGATTTAAAATTTAAAAAAGTATAAAGACATTATTTATCGTTTCGGCATGCGTAGGCAAAACATCTGCAAATCCACCAAATTGTGCAAAAATCCCTTGAATTTTTTTAAATTTAAAGTAACACAATTAAAAACTAGCCTTCTAGTTTGCTATTTGAGTTAACAATTATATGGATATTAACGTGGCTTTCGTCGATCCCGCCCAGTAATATTCCAATATCCATCAACATTTCAGTAGCCTTGGCTTTCTTCTAAAAATATTTTTATTAGGTTTTGAGGAATTTAAAGTTTTTCCACAAATTTAGAAAATTTTCAAAAAACATTTAACACACACACACACACACACATGCCCTACTTTTTTAAAATAAGTAAAAGATTTGGATATTCGAATATTATTCTATTTTAAATTAATGGGGATAAAAGGGATTAATTCATAAATTAATTCTTTGGGTAAATTTTGTTTTATTTAATGAAAATATAAGGAACAGTTTTAATAAAAATTATCCAAAATAAAGGGTTAAAACACCAATGAACTAATAAGGGTCATTGATGGGGGAGGGGGCACAAGGACACCAGTCCCTTTCTTTTGTTGCATAAATTGTGTTTGTAATAATTCAAAAAATAAAACAACACAAAATACTTGGAACATTTCCATAAATTTAAAAAACTATTCACTTATAAAATAAAGTCAAAATTCACTAAAATTAGATACCCCTAAATATCTCAATAAATATTCTCGAAACAACTGAAGCCGGAACGTCTTAAAATACTTAACGCTCAGAAACACTTGAAATACCAAAACGTGGAAAAAAGATTGAATTAACAAACCTCAATAAGCCCCTGATCTTCAACCTCTTCCTTAACATTTACAGATTCTTTATCAACATCAAGTCGAATTTTTTTGACTGAACGTTCCTCTGCTTCTGTGGATGTATCTAAAATGAACTCTCAAACCTTTTCGTTAAGGAAAAATGTGACATTCGAAAAAGAGATCGAAACCGAGATCGAAAATCGAAGTTTCTTTGCCAGAAGAATTTTTTGCCCAAGACGAAAATCGCCTTAAGCCGATTTTTGTGTAATTCAATTCTACCCACTGATGACATATGTTGTCTAATTTGCTAAGAGTTTCGCTTATTAATCCATTAAAAATGTTTTTCTTGTGTAATGAAATGCGCTGAGTTCAAATTTCAGTGCTCAAAACGGTCTTCCGCAGCGGCAAGAACTTTTTACCGCGGAGGCTTATGTGAGGGATAAAACAATTGGTCATAACAATCAAGTCAGATTTAGTCGTATTGGTGGCACTCGACCCAGCTCGAGGAGCTCTTTCGAATGAGCTATAATTTACATTTTCGTATTTATGTCCCAAAATAAGCTTAGTCCCTCCCCCATAGTTTTCAATTTTCAGGGGCCTGTTTTGAGCACTTATTGTGATATTTGAATCAGCAAATTTCAGTGCACAAGAAAAAACGCTTTTTTATGTGTTGATAAGCGAACTCTAACCCCTAATTTCCGAAAATCTGGATTTTTGGACGCATAACAGAAAGACAAGTTAAAAAGTGTAACAAACCTTCACATTTTCTCTTCCCTCCACCAGAAGACTCTCCGTGTTTCTCTTTCATTTCAGCTTCCATCTTCTTTTCCAAATCACAAATTTTTTGGTCAAGTTTGCTAAGTTGTTGGTTCATTTGGTTCATTAATTCAACAAGTCCTCTCCTTTCTTCTTTTAATTTATCAATTTCCTCACTATATTTTTTAAAATCAGATTCTTCCATTATTTTTTTGCTCTAAAATTTTTTTTATTAATTTTCAAAAAAAATTTTCACAAACACGCTTTTTTGGATTCCGATTTCTGAGGGGAATGAGTTTATCAGGGAACGTTTTAAAATTTCAATTGTGGGGACAATGGAACCTATTTTCACCGAAGAAAAAAATTGTAAATTCAGAAAGTAACGAAACTTAAAAATTCAACACAATTGAACAACAATTAAGCAACATTAAAAATTAAATAAAAATGGAAAAAATGGGAAATTTAAATAAACTATCAAGTCGCGGAAAAGTTAAGTTGAGTACCGGCTAGTACTCTTTAGTGGGGGACAATTCAGTACAAGCCGTTTTTCTACCTTCATAAAATTTTTTAAAAAACTTTCTTAGATTTTTAGGGTTCGTTTTCAACAAATATAGTATTATTCAAAATATCTTTAAAAGCTGAAACAAAAGAAATGAAAATTTTAATGAACAAAGAAAATTTTGAATTCTGAACCTTGTGGAAAAAATTCTCGAAAAAATAAGAACTGATCTTTTCCGAAACCGGCTCTTCTCGAACTCTTTCGTATGATACCACATTTGTCGAAAACAAACCTCAAAAATTTAAGAAAAACCAAAGAAAAACAAATTTTCATGGAGACTGAAATGGCAGGTACTGAAGTTTTTTACTGTACCGACATTCAATACGGTACACTACATCTGGGCGCGCACAACTGGGCGCCCAAAATCAAAATTCCTTCATATATTATCCAACTTTTGTTTATATCTGTATATATTTTTATTTTTTAACAAATATTTAGTGTATAATTAAAAATGTTAAACACTGCTAAAATGATACTCAGAGAGGCCAGGAAAAGTTAAACAACATGGGCATCTTTACCTTTTTGCAAACCAAATACTGCAGGAACTATAAAATTTTGGAGATGCGAATTTAAAAATGGAGGAATCGGCAAGTGTAAATGGCGCATTTGGACAACCATGGAGAATGATTTTCTTTGGCTGGTGAAACCGCATGCATGTGAACATAATCCAGCTCGCATCGTGGCGCAGCAAGGGAAGACGGGAATGAAACGACGTGCATTGGAAACTATGAAAGCCCCAACAATGATTCGAGCGGTTGTGTTGCAAAACACATCTTCACCAGCTCTAGCTGAAGTGCCTTCATAAAAAGCTTCTAATTTTGCTATTTTTGTTTAAATTAAACAATAAAAAATTTTAAATAAGATGATCCAGAGAGCACGGAAAGAAGTTGATGCTCCTTCATCGATGCCCGCAAACCTACACCAGCTTGTTATTTCAGCCGCCTACCAAATTTACAAAAAAAAACATTTGGTCGAAGAGCAATTTTTGTTGAGTGATTCTGGAGCATATTATGAGGGAGGAAGTGAAAACCCACAAAGGGGTTTTTTTTTTGTTTCATTTTTGATTTTCTGTTTCATTTCTTATTTGGAATCCTCATTTTTGCATGTGCATTAACCCGTAATTGGGCACAAATGATGGACTACACCGGGCGCCCAAGAGCTGATGGTTCACGTACACAGCCACGATTCGATCCAGAAATGTGGATCCAGAAAACTACAATCTCATTTTAATTGTTCTCATCCATCGACTTGGCACTTCATTTCGGTTGATATACTGATATCCCATTTAAATAACCGATATCCCCATTAATTCTTCGATTTTTATAATTAAAAAATCAAGAATCAAGGCCTAGATCCAGGCAATTAGGCCAATATCCAGACTTGGATCAATTCAAATCAATATTTTTAAAATATCGAAAAATTTTTCGAGAATCGAGATTTTTTTCCAGTCTGATCTCTAGTTTAGAATTACTGGAACTTCTCATGGGACGCGTGAAATTCAGAATCAAATTATTTTGATAATAAAATATTTTCCATTTGTTTAAATAAAAAAGAAATCTCACCATTATTTTCTTCAAAGCTTCTCCACATCTTGCATAAATTATTTTAGAAGAAACTAAAACATTTTCAATACATTCAATTTTCCAAACAAAACATTTTGGTTGTTTTGCTGTATTAGTTAATTTTTTATTTATTACCAAATTTGGATATCCATTAATTGATTTTGAAATTTCAAAAATCAACTCAATTGGAAGCATTTTAGTATTTTGTTTAGTTTTTGTTAAGGTCATTTTTAAGAAACACAAAAGTTTTGTTGTTATTTTTGTTGCTTTTTTTATTACATTATTTAAAGTAATATAAAATTTTTTGAAATTTTCAAAAAAATTCCTATTTTAATTAAATAAAAATTTTAATTTAATTTAGTTAAAAAAAGATTGAAAATTTAAATATATGTATGTAAAAGAATTTTAATATTAGGATATTGTTAGTATTTCCAAATATATGCCCATAATAACCTAATAATTTAAAGTAGCTCATTCTTTCTTTTTGGGGCAAAAGCCTTGAAAATTAAATTTATTTTGTTAAACAATAATTTTACAATTTTTTAAAAATATTTACAAATTCTCAAAAAGAGTGAAATTTTTGGGCTAAAATAATGCTAAATAATGCAAAACTAAATAAACTTAAAAAATCGTTAACTTTGTTTACATCAATTCTGTAGAGTCTCTCTCCTTGTTTTGCTTCGAAGATGGCATTTTCCTTTTTATATAAAAACGTTTTTAAAACGTGTGATTCAGCAGAATATTACACATGTCGAGTATTTCTCCGTTTGAAGAAGGTCAAAACAGAATTAGCATTAAAAATCATTAAAATGTTAGAGACTTTTTTGCTTCTTTAGGACTCAATAGTAACTAATTTTATACAGTATTATGTTTAGTCATGGATATGGAAGAATCCAGAAAAGGACCAGAAAAGGACGATCGCCAATTCAGTATCTAGGCCATATTTTGGGCCACAACTTTTTTGTTTTCCTCCAATTCGGGAAATTTTCGTATCCTTTGAAAGGACTCGAGATTCGGCACCTTTTTAATAATGAACTGATTTAATCTGAACATCCACAAAAAGTTAGAGCCAAATAAAAATCGAAAATCACGATTAACCTCACCTATTCGGCTGTAACTTTTTGTAAAATTATCTGATCAATCCAATACTGCTAGGTAAAATAATCCCCACTTTTAGAGCTATCGGTTGATATAATAAATATTTAAATCGGATACAAATCATCCCTTATAAATACATATAAAAACAATCAAAACATTCAATAAAATAAGAAAAAACATTCCCTTAAAAATGTAAAAATACATGTTTTCGAAAAACATTTAGAGAAAAAACTTAAATAAATTTATATAAAAACATGTTTGTTCATATTTTTAAAACTTTTAATGTTGTGTTCAACAACATATTATTACCTAACAACAAAAGTATTTCCTGAAAACATATTCTTACCTAAAATATATTTCAAGAACATATTTTCTACTAATTAAGTCTGTAAATTTTCAGTATTGTTAGGTTTATGCAAAAATCGAATAATTTTAATTTTTATCATTTTATCATTATTTTCATATAAATTGTTAAATTTTTAAGTGAATTTACTTTCATTAAAATTTGAAGAAATTAAAAGAGATTTAAGTGATATATTTTTATGGTAACATTGGGTGATTTAATAAAGGGCCGATTTTTGTTCCGAAATTTTAATAATTAGAAAAAAATTTTTCACAACGTAAAATTATTTTCTTAAATATAATTTTTCGGCCCCTTAAAGGATTTAAAAAAATAATTTAAAAATTAAAAAAAAATTTAAAAAGAAAATAATAAATAGTATCAAAATTTAAATTTAAGATTTTCTATTTTCATTTTCTTTATTTTCTGTTTGTAGCCAATAACATCCCCAAATAACAATTAATGCTGATAGTAGAAGGCAAATCTATTTTTATAAAAATAATTTTTTTTGAATTAAATTTTGGCAAAAAAAAATAAAATTTAAATTAATTTTAGAAAATTAATAATTACTGAATTTCTCAATTCAAATATTTAAGGAAAAACTAGGTGGGAGTAATCCAGATCCTAAATTTCTTTATAAAATTTTGTAGAGAATACATATTCGATTTTCTATTACTAATTTTTTGGCTTTTCCATCATGATATAAAAATTAATAAGCTCTCAAAATTTTTACATAAGACTAGAAGGTATTTGAAGATAAAAGGAAATATTTTTGGATATAAAATTAATATTTATTTTTGTAATTTTTATTTCCGTTGAAGGGACATAAATGTTTCTGCTTCCCATAAAAGGCAAATCCAAACTGCCCTCTTAAGTTGACTTTCCCTAATCCCCACATAAATATAACCCTCAAAATAACAAGTATCTAATTACCATAGACATAGACGCCACAATTGAAAGGAAAACAGAATCCGCCATACAAACAAGATTATGGTCAATTACCTCCTTCTCTGGCAAATAATCATTAATTCTGCTTTTATTGCTAAAATTAAAAAAAATTTTTTAAAGGAAATTTTTTCTTTAAAACCCCACCTATTAATTATTTTCCCTTCCAATGTTTGATTATAAAAACGTTCAACTTCTTCTTCCATTTCCCCATCTGCCAAAACACGAATTATTGCTGAAAGAGTTTTTTCACTGTTTGCATCGTTGGAAGATGATCCAATTGTGTTACTATGTCTCTTTTTACGGCCATGGGAGAGGAACAAATCGTTGGTGCCAGAATCGAGACAATTACTCTATTTAAGTAAAATATTTAAATTTAAGCAGTAGATGAACACTGTACTGCTTGAACTTGATGGGAAAATAAAAAATAGAAAACTCGAACTATCTTGGAGGGAAATTATTTAGGGACTCTATTTAAAATGTTGGAATCTAATTTTGTTGGGATCTTAATATAAGCAGTACTTCAAGCAGTACAATCGGTTTATAAACATCGTTTGGATATATACAGCTTGAACTCTATGAAAAAACTTTTTTGAGAAAATATCAAAACAAACAGGAGGACAGCCATTCGGTCCAGCACAAAACATAACAGTACACTGAATTTGGACATCATAAGATCCATCCAAACGAAACGCTTTCAGATCTGCCTTTAGTCTGTTTTTCTCAAAATCTTGCTCAACTGGACCGCACAAAGCTGGGTAACGTGGACATCTTTTTGGAATAGAAATATAAATAAATAATTTTAATTTCAATACCCATTATCAATAATAGTGAAGGGAACAGCTTCTCCTTCCCCACCAACTCTTGTTGCTGTACATTCAGCCAGCATCTTTAGAAAAAATTTTTTTTCAAAAATTTTTCAAAAAAATTCTTTTTTCACCATATTATGTGGTCCAGCTTGTTCACTACTAACAACCATAAATAATGGATCTCCAATTGAAGCCTGTTGTAATGGTTGACCGTCAGCGTCCAAAAATGAAAGTGTTGCCGTAATTGGAGGGGGAGTGCCGGCGTCGAGAATTTGTGGTTCTACTTCTCTTTAAATAATTTTTATTTTTCTTTCACTAAAAATTATCTCACTCTGAGAGGACTGGAAAAATCGTAGCTTATAATGGTGGTGACTTAAAATTGGGGGTACCGGTTATAAGACGCCCCTCCCCACTGGTAACTTTTAAGGACGTCTCTTATATTGGGGTGTAAGCTACCCGACTCTTGGTCTTGAGTCTTGGAAAATTTTCAGTCTTGGGACAGCTCTAGTAAAGGCTATAATACATATAGTGAGATTTGATTTGGTTAAATTTCTAAATAACTTCTTTCTTACTTAGTCTCAAATATCGTAGTAACCAAAACGGTCCCTTCAATTCCCTGTTCTCGCTTTTCCAACATTTTCTCCAAATTCATACTGACATCACAAGATACTCGATAGAAACGATCCCATTCTGTGGTGACTTGATGTGGAAGAACTCCGTCTAATGAGACAACAACTAAAGCTTCCAATTTTCCGTCCTTTTTTTAAAAATTAAATTGGAAATATTTTTCTTAAATTTTCTAGTACTTTAATTGTAGTTCCACAATTGGGCGAAATATTTGGAGGTGGGAAAGTAATAGATATTTGTTTAGCATTTTCAACAACTTGCGAGCATGTACTGAATTTTTCTGCTGCGTAAATAGCTCCAGTATAAGGCTCTTTTGTATTTACTATAAATCTAATTCCTTCATTTGTGCAAAGTGCCATTCCTCCAAATTGGGATTCTAAAAAGAATATTTTTTATTAAAATTCCAAAGATGGACCTCATTGTAAGAGACACCCAGTATTAGATACTCACACTAGGGGATGGGCTGGGTTGAGAAAAAACTCTGTTAGGATCGAAGGTCTGGGAGAAAAAGACCAGGTTTCGGATTTTGAGTAATATGGCACTAGGAGGATACCCTCTATTTAAGTTACCCTCTATCTTCATTATAAGATACATTTCTACAGCAGCAAGGGAGTATTTTCTAGGGAGGTTCAGCTGTATATTAAATTAATTTACCACAATTAAATTCATAAAAGTCAACAGAAGGATTCTTCTTAACATTAGCGTTTGCTTGTCCAACAGCGAATATATGGCAAGTACTTTGTGTACGGTCAAAGTTGAGAGATTTACAATTCAAATTTTGGAAACAAAGAGAAACACAATCCGCAATAGTTACTCCTTGAGCTGTTGCTACAGGTTGTCCTTCAATAGAGACGCCAATAAAACGATTGAATGCTGCTTGTTGACGGCAGGTTGATGAACTTAGGTCGGCTAGAAATTAGGAAGAAATTTTTGGATAAACTTTTGAATTTTTTTTTGAAAATATAGTTGATCCTTGCTATAAGATACACCTTGGGATACTGAAAAACCTTATCTTATAATGAAGGATCTTAACTTGGGCGGCTACTTCCAGGGACAAACAAATCTAAATTAAAAAATATAGAAGGGACCTCCTCGTAGTTATTGCTAGGCGCTTTCGCACACCACATTCAGGACCGGGGCATCGACAAATGATCTCTCATCCTTTTAGATCGTTTAACCCCCGTCTTAGCGTTTTAAATGCTCTAGGTGAATCATCCTTACAATATTAAAAACTGAGTAGTATCTAATATAGCAGGTTCACTATAGGGTACATCTACATAATAGTCAGGTCCGAGACGAAATTTCATCCAAAAAATCGGTCATCTAGATCAAGATTCTCACAGATATCGATCTCATATCTCGACTGATCCTCAATTCTTTGTCTATATTAAGGGGTATCTTATAGTATTTTAACTGAATTCTCAAAAATAATTTTAAAAATTACCAGAAACACAAATAGGTTCATAATAATCTTTATTTTGAACAGCCCCTTGTTGATCAGCCCTCGAAAAAGTATCTTCATCGCTAACTATACAATTTTTCTCGTTTGGAGAAAATTCTACAGAACGGCAAAAAGTATTTAATGAATCTAAACATTTTTGTAAACAATTAGATTCTTGTGGTTCTACCTTGGAATTAAAAATATTTTTAAAAAATTTAAAAAAATTAATTACTGATTGTGTATGATCATAATATTTAATTTCAAATTGTGTTGTCTTAACAAATACCAAATTTCCTCCTTGCTGGCTACAACGATTTTGGCCTTTTTTTAAATTGAAAATAATTAATTTTTTACATCAATTAATTTTTTTTTGTTATCAAAATAAAAATGTAAATATATAGATTTATTGTAAGGAAAGGAAGATCCAGATAACTATTTAGCATTTAAAACAAAATTAAATTTCACTAAAATTTAATTTTAAATATTAGAGAGTGTGATTATACATATAGAAATTTGAGAAAATTAAAAATCGGGGGCCGTAGAATAAGAAGCTGGTTAGGTGTCGATGGTTACCTAACCATTGACACCGTGGACCACAAGGGCATGGTTAACTTTATGACCGTCTTATGCTACCGGTAAAACCTCCGGTTGATGGTTACCTAACCAGCAAACGAGCTCTTATTCTATGGCCCCTGATCTCCCGTCTATGGCCCTCTTCTACAGAAAAAATTTGATATTAAATGAAAGTGTCGAACAATTGAGATCTGTCTGTTTGTTTATTATGTTCTACCTCTTAGTTCTAGCTTAGTACATATAAGTAAATTCTTCAAAGAGTAATTTTAAAATTTTTCCAAAATAAACTTACGATTTAAACAATTATTATCAAAATAATCCACAGGCTGGTCTACAGTCATTCTCAAATGTGTTGGTTTCGATCGTCTATCTTCAATACTCATTTCACAAGCATAAGTATCATAATTATAATTAACTGATCGACAAATAAATTCTTTTTCTTTTAAACAAGCACTCAAACATTGTTCGCGACTTGCAACCTTTTTTAGAAATGTTTTTAGTAAAATTAATTAATAAACTTTTTAATTGTTCTAGAATTCCCACCTTATTTTATATTTAATTAAGGAGATATCAATTATTTCAGAAATTAACAACTATCTTCTCATTATAGGATATCTCCTCTCTGGAGCTAAAATTTTTTCTTATTAAGAGGTCTTTGATAAAAGTCTTCAATAAGGGCTCATTTAAACGGCAATCAAATAGAGCTAACCAAATTTTAATAAACCCTATTCATATTAAATTGGGATAGATTTACAGTACACTTACGACCACCTTACGACCACTCTGATTTTTTCCATTTTAATTGGTGCAAAGATTTTACAAAAATTTCCCCCTAAATACGATTGTACTTTAAAAAAATAAAAATTCTGAAAAATGTTTGTTATGAATTGATAGCCAATAAAAAATGCTACAAAAAATATATTTACACCAGATTCATTTGAGATAAATTTATCGAGTTATCGATGGTTTTATTTTTTTAACAAGTGGTCGTAAACATATTGCCGGTACTGTATCTAATCCCCGTGGGAATCAAAAATTTATGTTCGATTGTATTAATTTTTTAACAAATTTAGAGACATTTCTAAATTCCAACCCTGTTAAGTACTGAGTCAAATATACATATGCCTAGCTAATTAAATATCCACAATCTCCACTATTCCTACCCCCCCTTTAAATAATTTAAAGAAATTATTTACTTGAATACTTTTCTTCACAAAACCCTCAAGTGAAGTCTTTCTTATTCTTTCAAAAGAAAATGATCTATAAGTACATGCTTCATGAGCATTTACTGCAGGCAAACAAGTCTTTTCGTAATAAAAATTATTAGCTGATGGATTTGGATTTAATTCTGCTTGGCCTGCTGATGGACTTTAATAAAAATTAATTTTAAAATAAATCTGAGAGAATTTTTATTGCAAAACTTTGGAAATTCTCAGTTTTCAGCAATTCTTAAGCAGATCCCAGCGAATGGTGGATTTCGTATTTTTTTCGATTTCGTTTTTCTCCCCGTTTTTAGGCGAAAAAAGCTTTGCTTTTCACCTTTTATTTTATAATTACTACATGGATATTTTGAATAAAAATTTCTACAAAGCCCACAACTAGTGTTGTCGGTTCCTGGAAAACCCTCAGATATTCGGAAGCGACCGAAGAATCAAACCAAAAAAATTCTCGGTTATTCGGTTTGGTTCCAAGCCCCGACATTTATTTACAAATTTCTTTAAGCCCACAACTAGGGGTTGTCAGTTCTTGGAAGACCCTCAGATACTCGGAAACGAACCGAAAAACCGAACCAAAAAACTCTCGGTTCAAAAAACTCTCGGTTCTTTGATTCAGTTCCAACCCCCGACAACCCTTTCCTTTCAACCCCTTCCAAATCTCTCCAAATTATTTCCAATTTTTAATTTCTTACGCGGCAGCATCATCAAAAAAATAGCAAGTTTCCCTTCCATCAAAATTAAAAGAAGCACATAATCTTTGAGCCCCAGTTGTCGGCTCTATATTATTTCGACAATATTGAGAACAAGTTAAATCGTGCCCTGCAGTAGAAACAACTAAAGGTGTTCCATCTAAACGAGCACGAGAAATTCTGACGAAAGTTGCTGTTTCGGATGGGGCACATTCAAAAATTGAATAAACACAATTATTTAAATAAATTAAATAAATTATAGAAGAAAATATTAAAAATTTATTTAAATAAATATATTGTAGCAATAACATTTTTCTTTAGATTTAAATATGTTGTTGTTTGGTTTCCCAAAATTTTTTCTTAAAAGTAAAAAAAATATATCAAAAAAGTATAGAGTATCAAGTAAGGTTGTCGAATAGTTGGAAATCTTCGGATATCCGGATCCGGCATCCGAACCAAAATTTCCGATTGCCAGGTCTTTTCTCAGATCTGGATCCGACAATCTTAGTATCAAGCAATGCTAGGTTTAACTCTGGGAGTTAACTCCAGAATCGGCTCCAGAGCCAAGATTCTAAAAAAGTACGAGCTGAAGCTCAACTTTTTTATTTCCCCCAAGGCTCAGGTTATATACTCAATGAACGGTGGAACAAAATTTTTTTTATTTTTATCCGGAGCCTGACCCAAGACTTTAAAAACGTTTGAGCCGGAGTTACACGAGGTTGGAGTATTTTATTAATAATAGACAACAGTAAAAAAAGACAAAAGGCGAAATTATTTCAAAAATTGAAAGGCAAAAAAAAAACGAAAATTTACAAAAAGAAAATTCTTAATCTAGAGTATTGTCAAAAAACCAGTCCTGACAGACAGGCTAAGTAAGAATTATATGTATAAATCCAGTAACAGGTTTAACTTGTTTTGTCTATCTTACTACTAGACAGTCTCAAAACCTCTAATATATATTGTTTTAAATAAATAATCTCATTTAAAATAATAAATAATTTTATAAGAAAATTTAAAAGAGAAAAAGACAAGAAAAATGGATTACCGCTGGATGAACACAAAAATTTGGGTCAGATGCCGCTACTTGCTGTTTTGGAAAGGAATGAAGGGTTGGATAGTTTTGTTGTTGTGATGGTTTGTGGGGGGGATTTTATTACATAAAAAAAGTAAAGGGTAGAGAGAGGAAAGATGGATTGATGGGGGTGATTTCCGGGGATATTTACCTAAAAATATTTATTTGGTTTTTGGAGAGTTGAGAGAAGAATTGAGAAATAGATGAAGTCAAAAATTAATTTTTTTCTCGTTAAAAACGTGATTATTTAATAAATTATAAAATAATTAAAAGAAATTTTATTTAAAACGAAAAAACAGATTTCACGTATTTGCTAAAATAATTACCCAGAATAATTATTGTTTCAAACTCTCCTGGAGGGAGTAATTAAAAGGAAGGGGGTAATTATTTGAGCTTCTTTAAAATGACTAATTATAACTATTCTTAAGAGGGGTAATTATTGTTTCAATCTCTGGCTGTGTGGGGTAGTTAATAGGTCGAGGGTAATTATTTGAGAGAAGGACATTATTTCAGCATTTACGGTATTCAGGATATGGCAAAATGAATTTTATGATAAAATATTATGTTCGATATGTTAAGGTAAAAGTTTTGAACGACTAAGGATGACGGATCTGTATATCCAGAATCGAAAAAAGACCGATATCAGAAAATTTTTGTTCTGATATTAAATCCGACCACTTGAGGAAAGACTGGACTATTTACGGGGAAAGGGGAGGGATGTTTTGAACTTCTAATTTAATATTAAATCTTATATAGGTGTTTTTAAATGCCTTTTTAATCCTTCCTCCTTATAATATAGTCAAAGAATAAAAAGACAAAAAGATTTTAAATTTTAATTATCAAAAAGCTAGGAAATCTCAATTAATCGAGAGAATAATGTCAATAAAAATAATTAATTAATTGTTCATAATTAATTAATAAATATATTTTTAATTAATGTAAAGCTTATAAAAATAAAAGAAAACTAAAAAATCTTTTTCCTTCAAATAAATATTGAATTGTAATTTTTGTTTAGAATTTTTCTAATTGAATGGAAAGAAAAAATGAATGGATTTTGTATAAAAAACTAAAGAAAAAGTCACTTCTTCCTTTCCAAAAATGCCTTTTCCTTCTTTTTAGTAGACCGTGACACTTTTACAGTTTTTTTGCGCATTGAGGGAGAGATTTATTTGATTTGAGATTTATAAAGAAACGAAAATATATATTGATGTAGAAGGATATTAAAAATAAATATTTAATATAAAAATAATAAATGCTAGTTGAAATTAAATTTTAATTTCCGATTACCTTCATTACAAAGTCTTTTTTGTGTATTTGCTTAATAATTTACTGTATTTGCTAAGATAATTACCCAGCGTAATTATTATTTCAACCTCTCGCTGGAGGGGTAATCAAGAGGGGGGGGGGGGTAATTATTTGAGCTTTTTAAGAATAATTATAATTACTTTTAAGAGGGGCAATTATTTTTTGATCTCTAGTTGTAGGGGGTATTTATCTGAGAGAGGGACATTATTTCAGCATTTGTGGTAGTTTATATTTTTTAAATTAAATATTTAAATTGATAAATTTTTATTAAAAATATATTTCTTTTTAATATTTAAAATATGTATACAAGAGTTCGATCTGAAATGACAGAGATCCAGGAGATCGGAAATGTCGGGAATTTGAAATGTTTCAAAAGTCGGAATTGGAAATCCTCGTAAATCTTAGAAAATCGGAATTCCAACCGATTTCTGATGTATAGCTCAGCTAATTTTAATTTTATCAATTTTCTATTAATTAAAATAACAGAACCAAAAAACATTTTCTTTTATTTTCTCTAAAAATAAATATTTTTTAAGAAATATTTAATTAATTTTTAATAAATTTAAAAAGACATTTACGAACATTAAACTGATGAGAATATAGGTATATTTGTGTTTATGATGGCCTTGACACCAAGAAAATGATTTGATCGTTTATGTCTATATTTAGAGGGAAAGGAATGTACTATTTTATTTAAAGATAGAAAGGGATATATTTAAAATAATGATTTATCTAAATAATATTTGTACTTTATTTGGATTTTTATATTAATAAAATATTTCTAATAATATAACCCCTGCTATATATATAGGGTACGGCAAATTATGGGCACAATTTTTGTCATAATTTTCTTCGAAATTGATGAAAATCGGTATTTTCTTAAATTTTATTCATAAAACTTTAACAAACTTTTTGATAAAAATACTGAAAATTTGGTTCACTGATAGCAAAGAAAAACGAGACTGAACATCTAGAAAATTTAAAAATATTTATTATGCCTAAATTTAATTACATATAACTTCGTTTTAATAATGCAACACAAATGATTTTGGTACTAAACGACTCATCTGATGAAGGAGCATCGAAGTAGCTCATAATCTCATTTTTGAAAATATAACACAAAAATCTTATATTTGCCAAAATTATTTTACAGTAAATGCTGAAATAATGCCCCTCTCAAATAATTACCCTCACCCTATTAATTATACCCCCTACAGCCAGAGATCGAAAAAATAATTGCCCCTCCTAAAAATAGTTATCCGCATTCTGTATTTAAAAGTAATTAATTTAAAAAATTTTTTGAAATTATTTTATTGACTAAAATTTCATTTTAAAAATTTTTCGATTATTTACGATTATGTACGATCTTTTAGTTGGACATTTATTTGAACAAATAATTTTAATTGACGCATTTCTAATTTTATTTAATTCCAAAAATAATAAAATTAAATTAGCTAGCTCAAAACGGCGCAAAACCTCTAAAAGGGAGAGGAAGAGTAAAGTCAGGAATATGGGAAAATGAAAAATTGCTTAACGAAAATTAAATTTTTTCGAAGATATTATAAATAACCTTCTAAAATTATAGGGTTTTTATTTTGGCAGGCCGAAACTTGCGGACCGAAACTTGCAGACCCGACGAATTTCTCGAAACATAGCTCATCGAAAGAGCTCGACGAGCTGAGTCGAATGACATCAAAATCATCGTGATTGTACAAGCTTGGACAAAGTTACGATAGAAAAACAAAAACATAAACCCCTGGTCCGCAAAAGTCGGTGCCTACCGTATTGTGTGCCTACCGTATAAAGTCGTGCCTACTGTATTTTCTCGATTAATTCCCCTGGGGAATTATTTTTTCAACCCTTCCATGGCATGGGGAATTAATCGAGGGAGGGGAATTATTCGAGTTTAGGCATTTGAACGTGCAGTAGGGTATTTGGGGGTGTTTCAACCTTAAAGATAAAACTGTTTAACGGAATTTAAAATTCAATAATAAAAATTTAGATTGAATTAGAAATTTTAGCTAAACCCGTGTTTATTTTTACAACTGCGTCCAAAAGGACCTAGTAAATAAAAAAATTTTTTTTATTATTTTTCAAAAATAGATTTATGTACATAATGTTTACACAAATTTTATTTTATTTTTTACCTTTCAAAATCATTTAAATAAATAATAATTTCTCTCTAAAAATATTAACCCTTCTCTCTAAACCCAAAAACACAAAATAAATAAATAAATTTCTTTAAAAAATTAAAATGAATTTTAATTTAATTAAAATCATTATTTCTTTACTATTTTTAATTATTTTATTTTTGTTTGGTTATATTGAATGTCAAAATGGAGAACCAGGGCAATCAGGATCAGGACAACCGAATCCTCCTTATTGTAGAGATCCAAATGGTTGTGAGTAATTATTATGACGAAAAAAGAATTTAAAAAATCTGGGAAGAAATTTAAAAAAAACTTTTTGGGTACATCTTTCATTCTAAAATAAAAATAAATACTTTTTTTTTTAATTTAAAATTTTTCCTTCACTTTTCCTTTGAATAAAATTATAAAATAGTACAAATTGTTGATAAATATTTCTGTTATTCTTCTACATACTATTAATCCTTAATCCTTGTAAAATTAAAAAATAAATTTATGCCGAAAATTTCTAAAATAAGTAGGGCGGGGACAAACATGCACGCAAAATCGCCAAATATGCGCATATATATGCACCAAAAAATACCAAAATATGCACCAAAATAGGCAAAATTTGCAAAAATATGCACTAAATATGCAACAAAAAATAGTGAAATTGTGCTTTAAAAACAATATTTTAAGTATAAAACAGTAACATAGCCTTTAAGATTTTAATTTAAGAGTCAATTAAAAGTTTTAGAAAAAAAATTTTTTTAAATTTTTTATTAAAATTTAAAAGTTCCAAAAATTT